AATTTGCAGACGGCGCACCAGTGGGGATACAAAAAAACACAGAAACACAAACACATAATATACAATAAAAGTGCATTAATGCGGTATAAAACAGGTCTGCTTCAGCCGGAACAGAGCATCACCATCAATCAGCTGTTTAAAGACATATGCGTGATGTTTGCCGAATTAAAGAACTTTCAGACAAAAGAATGAATATTGGAAGTTTGTGAATCTAATCACAAACCAAACAGGATTCAGAAAAACATTTGGACATTTAAATTTTTCTGGGTAGCACTCTTGCCTCTCAGGAAGAAAGTCCTGGGTTTGAATCCCGGTTGGAACAGGGTCTTTCTGAGTGGAGTTTGCATGTTCTTCCCGTGCCTGCGTAGGTTTCCTCCGGGTACTCTGGTTTCACCCACCACTAAATACATGCTCACTAGGTTAAATCCTCCATCTCTGGTAGTCCTGACCAAGCCGAGCATCAACATCTGGAGATGGGTTCCCGGGCGCTGTTACTACGGCGACCACTGCTCCTAACGTAAGCCTTAGTGGCATCAGGATGGGTCACAGGGATTAATAAAGTGCACGTTTACTTTTCAAAAATGGCTTCTTTCTTTTAGCAATCTATTGGCACCTGCCCTCCTAGAATGATGATCCTTTATTGGTCCCACAGTGGGAAAATTTCAGTGTTGCATCACAAGTTTCACAACATAGGAATGTGGAGCACACAGCACAAGGTAAATCAACAATAACTATACTAAAAGAAAATGTCTAACTCTATAGCAAAAAAAGAAGCAGTATAAAATCTATATCTTCGGCAAAATAAGGAAAGAAGAAATCCCCAACTCTAGCATAATAAGAAGCAAGTAAAAAATGCTGTATATTCTAGTGTAAGTAATATATAGTATATTCTGACATTAGTTCAAGATATTGCACCGATGCACGACATGTGAGGTCAGGTTAATTCTCATTTTTATACTACAGACTTTTATATACTAGTAACTGATTAATTGTTGCAGACATTCCACCAGAAAAGTTACAATTCTGGAAAGTTCTCGACCAGTTCGTACCAAGTAAAAAACTGAAGAAAAGTGGCGTTTTTGTTACCAACGAGTTTACTTTTGAAGAGTGGAGTGTGTGGCGTCAGCTGCTGGGAGTAGATTGATGTCAGTGGGACAGGGGCTGCAGCATTGCATTGTGGGGATGCTGATCTAGTGCGATGGAAAGGATTAGGGTCAGCAAGAATAAGGAGCTCAGGCTTGTGTGGCTCCACCAACTGAAAGTACACCTCACTTGTTTTAGATTCATAATGTGTAGTGTGCAAAGTGGCTCCTGTCAGAATAACTTATTACAACGTCATAGCTAAAATGCTATACCGTAGAATGGCGGATTTTACTTGATGGCTAACAATTAATTATATGCAAGTTTGAGAAAAATATATATAGGTTGGAGACTTGACAGTGAATCTCATACTGCTTTTCTTTGCCTAACTATTAAACTTAATTGCAGACTCAAGATCCAGATAAAAAGGCAAGCGTTGATATGTATATGGTAAAGCTTGCATTGATATTGTAATGCTCCCAATTTACTTCCACATAAAAAAGCAGGAAGTTAAAGCCACTGATCACATGACTGTAACTAAAATAATCTATGGTTATGCATGATTGTGGTCACCAACGGGAACTTTTCCACACGTGGGCTGCGTATAATTCTTATAAGAACAAGGGCCATAATCATTTAAATGGGAATATACTGTTAGTTATGCATGCAATGGTTCCACTTATAAATGTTTTTGCTTCTTGGATCTCCTGACCTCATGTACCGCCACACTGCAGAAAAATCTAATAATTATTATGAATACTGGATTCTATTATGAATATTAGTTTTCTTTTAACAAATGCAAGTTATATATTTGTTGTATTTGGCCATTTAACATAAAAATCCACTATTAGGGGGTGGGGGGGACGATTCTGTTCAGTATTGCAATATTGTGCAATTCAATCGATACAGTAGAGCAAAGTATAGCTATATTTAATGCAAATGATTATCTCCCTTCATGGTAGAAAAGAATGATGTCTTGTCCTGCAATAAAGTCCTGTGTCCTGAAAATGTTCAAGGATAACGTTTTTGCACTTCCCTCCTATTTTTTGTTTACACTTCAGTTAATCTGCCGACCATAATACATGTGACAGTAGAGTTGAGCAGTCTTATCTCCCTCCATTTGTGTAATAACTTGATATATAAGGAATAATATAAGGGACATGAATAGGGATGTGACAATATATCAATTTTTTGATATATATCGCGATTCGATTATCGATATGCATTTGCCAAGTATCGATATTGATTTTGGATTTTTTTATTTTTTTATTATTTTTTTTACAATTTTTTTATTTTTTAATTGGTATCAGTACTTAATATATGGCTACATTATGCATCTCCATTCCATTTATCATGAAATAAAGTGTATTTTTTCTTTTATTTATGCCATAAATTGGCATATTGTGTATTTCTGACAAATATATTGATAATCCTCATATCTTGATAAAATCGTTATTGTGAGCTTTGTATCGTGTATCGTATCGTATCGTGAGGTACCCTTAGGTTCTCACCCCTAGACATGAATCACAATATATCGCAGAATCGAATTGCAATCACAATATGTTAAGAATCGCACTACTATCAAATCGTCACATTTTTACCAATTCCCACCCCTTCAATCCAACCAAAACAAAAGAATAAGTCTATGAACAGTAGTATAGGCAGAATTTCACACACACCGAGCAAACCATGCGTCTCCCCATCCCTCGCTCCAGTTTTCTCTCTCTTTCTTTCACATATTGCCTGTTCTGTGCACATGACACATTCTCCATTAGTGAGGAATTACAATGCCATGCTTTTCGAGTCCAGTGAAGCGTCTCTGCTCCTCCTGGGGTGAGCTGGTTTCGTACTTCCACACTCACGAGCCTTTGTCATTCTGGCTGAGATGGTGACTGAGAACCCAAATCCTCACAAGGGGGGCACCAGCGCTAATTGAAATTCTGCTCTCTTTTTTTTTTTTTTTTCGTCCTGTCAAACGGACTCAAAGCGCACTGTGTATTGTACTTATGCCCTCTGTCACCTTGAAAGCCCTGGTTGGAGACATTCCTCTGCAGGCAAAGAGGAAGAAAGATGTGGACAAAGGAGAGGTCTAAACCAAGCAGGACATGGGATTTGCTTATTGCTTGTGAAGGGTGCAGGAGTGAGCGGCTGCGTGTGTGGCGTGCATGCTAATCGCAGAAAGAATGAATTGGTGCCATTTGGAAAGACGAGAAATGAGCACAACGGAGGTCTTTCTAGTTCCCACAGCCGGCCACTGCTCGGCCCGTCCCCTGTTGGACAGACCACTTCACAAGATCGCCATGGCCTGCAGCATGCGAAGGGCTTTTCTGCTTTCACTTAATGTTTTGTTTCCTTTCGTTCTAATTACCACAAATGGGTTCATTATGTTACAGTAAATGTCATTCTGCTGTTTAACAAAATGAAACGGTTTTGTAGTTTTAAACAGGCCTGTGCTTTCTGTGATCCAAACTATTTCTTTATAATGAAGAGAGAAGTTCTGGTTTTGGCCTCACACTGCAAAAAAATATAACATATGGTAATAATTGCTTGAATCAAGAGTTTTTTTTATTTTATTTATATGCATTCTGACAAGATTTGCCAATGGGACAAAGCCCTTTAGTGGTAATTAAATAACTATTGCTTTATTTACTCATTCCAAGGGAGACAAGGCAGTAGAAATATGCTTAAATTAAGATACATTTTGCAGAATTTGAGCAATTTTGTACTTATTTTTCCTCAATTTTTGCAGTGCACAATGTTAGTATTTATATAATTTTACTGTTAAACCAATTTCTTGTAAAATGACAGCTTCTCACCAGTACTTCTAGCAGCCAACCCATTTTCCCAAGCTACTTTTTCTTCTTTATAGACACCTCTTTTTCAAGGAAATCCTGGCCCCCAAGGCAGCAACGTTACACATAGAAATACATTGACAATTACCGACACATAAACAGATATATGCATGTCTTTTCCAGGAGGGGCAGACTTATTATCTTGAAAGTTGAGAGTGGTAGAACTTATTCCCTCCCTCCCTAATTCAAATGAGTTTCACAAGTACAGTCCAGAGTCTTGAATTCCCAATATCATGCACACGTGTTACTTATTGCGTTGCGACACACACAAACGTTTCATATTCAGCCAATTGCAAATATAACAATGTGTAACCCCTTTCAATGAATCGAGTCCATCTGTTATGATCTTTGACTAGTTCATGGCAAGATAAGATAACACAGACTTTATGGATCTGACAATGGAGACTTTTACATTACATTTACATTGGTATAGATATCTAGCTATGTTCAAGAGTTGTCCAAATTAGCAAAAAGTCACATGGAAAAGTTTTAGCCTGTGATGTAGTGATAGAGAAGAGTGTCTCAAACTGTGATAACCAGCTGCGTTTGGCCCTTTTGCTGTTATTGTAGGTGTAGAACTAGACAAATATGTTTTTTTAATACTCTCAAAAGCGTTTACAAGAGTTTTAGTGATAAATAGGTCATCCTTACGTTTATTAATCTATATATATAGCACATTTCACAGACTAAGGTCACACAAAGCCCTTTACAATTTTTTGGTGTAGCAGTAAATTCCATCCAGGTAGTTTTGCCCTGCTGTCTGCTCTTTCAGTGTTGGTTTTAATTATATGGGTCTTACTGAAGGATAGTTATTGTCTTTCAGATGGTATTTAGTCTGAAACGTTTGATGGCCATTGACCGAGACTTGGTTGAAGATGGAAAATACCAATCAAATTAATAAAATCAACATGTTTTCACTCAGTTTGTCCAGACAGACTGTTTCTATCTGATGGCCCCTCCACACACACACATACACAAATAAGATGCACTAGTTTTTGTTTTGATCCCATTCCCAGGAGGTCCCAGATAGGAAGAGGAAGTTCACCCAGAGTTTTCTTTGTGTTGCAGGGATCGAGCTGTGCCTACCCGGCTGGCGCTTCTCTATGACCATGGTGGCCAACTTTGTGGTGCTCGGGGGTCAGCTGCTGCTCCCTGGGGTGGCGTTCCTGTGCGGAGACTGGCAGGTGCTGCAGGCGGTCATCGTCTGCCCCCTGCTCCTCATGCTCTCCTACATATGGTGAGAAAGAAGCTCCAACTGTCAACACGTTTTAACTACGCATGTATTTAGTTACTCGTACTTAAGTATTTCACGTATTTCTTTGCTACACATATCAGGGACCAAAACGTCTTGCGTTTAAGCCGCTTTGACATAGACCTGGTTCATGAGGGGCCAGCTCGAAACGATTCTGTGACAGGAGACAGCTGTGGAACATGCACTGCAAAAAAATGATAAATTATGAGGTAATCGAGTGGTTTTTATCCTAATTTGAGCACATTCTGACTGTCTTAAAACAAGATTTGCCAACGGGACAAAGCCATTTCAACTGATTCTTTATTTTCTCATTTCAAGAGAAATATTTGTATATTTTTAAAACAAGGTCATTTTGCTCATCCCATTTGCAAACCTGGTTTTAAGGCAGTCAAAATGTTCCAGAATCGAGATACATTTAACCAAATTTTAGCCATTTTTTGCATCACTTTTTGCAGTTTGTGGACGATGTGAGGTTTTACAGCAGCAGTGATGTGGATTAAGATTAAGAGATCCCACGCCCCACAGTGGGGAAATGTCAGTGTTGCATCACCGGTTATAGAGCAGTCTGAGGAGCACACAACACAAGATAAATGAACAATAACTCTATGCTAAAATGAAATAAAAACTAGCTTTAGCATAAAGAAGAAGCAATAATTAAGCATAAAAATCTCTAACTTCAGCAACATAAAGAAACAGGTATAAAATCTCTACCTTTGGCATAAGGAAGAAGCGAGAATTAAGTATAAAATCAAACCCTCTTGAATTTCACAGTTATCACAATTATGTACAATCAGTAATTCTGCAAAACAGTGCTAGTCTGAAACTTTCAAGCTGCAAAATATGTAGCTTTTGTTCATGAACGCACACACGACTTGTGAACGTGCCCGTCCAGTGGAACAAATACATATCACTTATCGCTGCAACAAACCGTGGCCCGCACCTGACCCCTGTTTTATTTCTACACAGTCCCTTGTTTTGTTCTTGTAGCATCACACTGACATTTCAGATTAGTATTTAATCTGTTGAGGACGAGAAAGGTTTATAGACCAGTGTTTTTGCCTTGAGACGTTGGTGAAAATAATGTGAGATGATTAGATTAGTTTGGTTTTCTCTTTCTTTTTAGCTGTGCATACGACTGAAGGATTTTATTGATACATACTCTTTTTTAATGCATTGTGGTTATTTATTATTTTAATCCCGTGTGTGCTTTTAATGTTTTAAGGTTTCTTCATTACTTGTGATTTTATTCTGTCTTTAATGTATTTATTGTTTGTATATGTAGATTTTTATGTTTCTGATTAGTCTGATATTATGTGGGTTGTGAGGCGCTTTGAGTGGCCTTGTGTTGGAAAGGCGCCATACAAATAAAGTTGATTGATTGATTGATTATATGATGCAGATTGACCTTTTCTCAACAAGAAGGTCATGGGTTCGAATCCCGGTCGGACCATGGCCTTTCTGAGTGGAGTTTGCATGTTCTCCCCGTGTCTGTGTAGGTTTCCTCCGGGTACTCCGGTTTTCCCCTACCACTAAAAATATGTCCAATAGTTCTGGCATGTGCCTCCTGTACTGGCAACCCCGCTCCCATCTCTGTGTGGAGTGAGAGACAAATGCCCAAAAGTAACAATTGTAAACCGCTTTGAGACTCAGATCTGCAGTGAAAAGGCGGTATATAAATAAAGATGACTTACTTACTTACATACTAAAGTCAGAGATTGTTCATTTATCTGGTGTTGCGTGCTCCTCATGCCTGTTGTTCTGTAACCGGCGATGCAACACTGACATTTTCCCAGTATGGGATGAATAAAGGAGCTCTAAATCTTAAACGTATTATAACATTATCAAAATTACATATCAGTTATTAACTAATACTATAAATGCAGGAGATACATTACTTTGGGTAAAACAGCTACATCCATTACAACCTATAAAAAACTGAATTTAAGTAATAAAACAAAGAATGTTTTTTTTTTTTCAAGGTAAGAGTAATAATGGCAGAATCTCTATGTATATTTGCTAAAGTGTGAATGAAATTAAGACTTGTCAATGTTGTTGATGATTTGGTATTTTCATTCAGTTTATGTATTAGTTTATTTGACTATAGGGACAGTACACATTAATCAACAATACCGTACATGCGTCAGTATTAGCTATACACAGACAGTCTCCAACTCTAGTCCCTATAGACAAGGTGTAAAATAAGAAAAAAAAAACACTGCAAACATAACAATATAAAATGAACTAACTAGATTTTTTCCTTTATGAGTTTCTTTTACTGCGAACAGACTGAGCTCACATGACTAATGCACGTATAGCAGAAGAACCTGCTGCCTGTGCAAAATCTGTTCCTGCTCTGTACCAATGTTCTGTACCACAAAAAAAAACAGTCAACATGTATGACTAATATAAATGTTGGATGATTCAGGGAAGACTTGGCCTGGTTTGTTTGTTTTCTCCTACGCTGCAAAAAAAGATAAAATATGAACTAATAATTGCTTGAATTGTGGTTTTTATCTTAGTTTGAGCACATTCTGACTGTCTTTAAGCAAGATTTGCCAATAAGACAAAGGTATATTGCTGGATTTTCTCATTCCAAGTGAGATATTTCTTGTATATTTTTAAAACAAGATCATTTTTGCGTTGTCCCATTGGCAAAATGTGCTCAAATTAAGATACATTTTGGCCAGATTTGAGCATTTTCAGACTTATTTTCCATCACTTTTTGCAGTGTATAGAGCGATCAGCATGAAGTGTAGGCACAGTATGGTCTGCCGCTGATAAACCGCCTGACACAGAGCGGAGACATGCAGCTGATTGGGGCTGGGAAAGCACTGCATGTCGTCTGAGTTTGCACATTTGTAGAAACATCTTAAGGGCAGAGCACGGTAAGGTGATAAGTTTAGGCTCGCAATCATCGCTGTTTTCATCCAGTTGGGAAACGTAACTCGATACTTTGTGATGACAACTCACACAGGTTATTATGATATAATGACCGCTGACAGGAGGGTAAGGTTTTTCAGGCTCTTTACAGATCAGTACTTGTTATTCTGCAGATATATATAAAAAGGCAGCAGTGTTCATGGGTATCCTTCATGAGTTAGTTTTGATACAGGGGACTTTCAAATACATACGGTTCAAAGTGCTATATTTTTAAACAATTAGACACAATTCATACAATAATTAAGGCTTTTGTCCAGTAATATTATTCCCCATTTGAACAGAAATACAGTTTTGGTGCACTTATATTTCATACTTCATTTATTGAAGATGTTTTGTTGTATTACAATATATAAAACATATAATTCCCTTCGATTCCATTTTCTTCCGCTTCATCCGTTGCCGGGTCGCGGGGGCAGCAGTCTAAGCAGAGACGTCCAGACTTCCCTATCCACACACAATTCCTCCAGCTCGTCCGGGGGGACCCCAAGGCGTTCCCAGGCCAGCTGAGAGACATAGTCCCTCCAGCGTGTCCTGGGTCTTCCCCGGGGCCTCCTCCCGGTGGGACGTGCCAGGAACACCTCCCCAGGGAGGCGTCCAGGAGGCATCCTGAACAGATGCCCGAGCACAAAAAAAGCATAAAAACATATGAATAATTCAAAAATAGATATAAGTTATACACAATATTTTGAAAAATCTAAAATTTGGGACAAAATATTGATATTATTAAAAAGAAAAAATATCAGTAATGTTTGTAATAAAAAAACCATCCATCCATTTTCTTCCCTTTAATCCATTTCTGGGTCAGGGGGGTGGCAGTCAGAGATGCCACCCAAGTCTCATAGCACCAGCCCCTCACTGACCCTCTGCAGGTGGTGAGTCCACAGGAGGACGGCTGCTCTCTGAGTGTGAGCATAGCCTTGATCTTTCAGTGGGGGCTTTGGGCAAAGTGGGGTTAAGTGTCTTGCCCAAGGACACAACGACAGCAGTCATCAGTGGGAGTCGGTGGAGAAGGTGCAGAGGAGGGAATTGAACCCACGACCTTCTGGCCTTAAGGCCAATGCTCTACCAACTGAGCTACTGTCGCCCCAAAAAAATCTATCCCCCCCCCATGTTTTGAACTATCTTGATTTTACGGTTAGACTCCTTGTTTAAACATAACTGAATACATGTAGGAAGCATATTTCCACAACACACAATATTACAACAGACAACACCTGGAAAACACTCACTCCAACTCTGTTTCTAAGAAAAAAAGAGACAGCTGAAAGTACCAGGTTATTTCCGTCTCTGAAACCCTGGGAGTATTTCAGTGCCTGTGAAACATTCAGCTCTATCTTGCTCCATGATCCTGGAACTGGATTAACAAGATCTGCGAAGCGTTTACGTACATATTTGTCTTACTGTATGAAAATAAATTCTGTATGTCAATAATGGCCCTGACGCTTTCTTCTGCTGATACCAACCGTGTGCCCTGCCTTCTCCAGGATCTTCCCCGAGTCCCTGCGCTGGCTGCTGTCCACGCAACAATATGGCCGCTCCAAATGGATCATGGGCCACATCGCCAAGAAGAATCGTGTGAACATGGAGCTGGACGCAGACAACATCCTCACAGGTATCTCCTCCTCCTTCTCATATAGAAAACTGTCCTCAGCTGCCTCGCTCTGCAAAAAAAACAACGCTCTCATAAGGTTATAGCCATAGTCTGTCTGGTTTCTATGGTAACGGGCCATTCTAGACGTCGGTGTGGGAGAAGAGCATCCTATTACATCACTTTGGGAGTGAAATGAGTGATGTTACGGTCCCCATGGGTGGGTCTGAGGCTTGTGGACGTGTCTGTGGCAGATGGACACCGGTATGAGGGTAATGGAGGGTTGGATCGCACCTGCCGCTGTTGAGAGGAAACGCAAAAAGCAAACAAAGGAAACAATCTTTTATTTGATCAAGATTGGACAGAAAAAGGGTGTTTCTGTTTGCACTGCGGTGTCAGTCGGGTTTAATGAGCTATTGTTGAATTGTTCAGTCTCCGTTGTTTCATTCGCGTAGTGTTTAGAAATAAGTAATATTTATTCATAATTCACATTTTTACAGACCAAGGATACCCAAAGCGCTTTACAATTGTTGAGAGTCAAGATATTTTTCTATTCACTGCACACACGGTGAGGACGGAAGCGAGATTCTGGACACGTATAGGCTCCTACTTACTTACGTGCTTTCTTATAGGACATAAATATCATTTGTAATCTGTAAACTTTTATTAATCCATTTTTCATACTTTATTTCTTAGTTCAATGTGCTTTTTCATCCATCAAAAATCATACAATTCTCAATGCAACAAAGCAGTCCAATAGAATGTTAAGAGAAACACTTACTAACAATTCCCTTTTACACTGGAAGGGATGGACCATATTTGAAACCAGATTGCAAACAAAGTAATGACATACTGTATATATTTTATATATATACGTCAAAAGCAGGTCACCACCAGGACAGTTGAGAAATACACTTTTGTCATGATATTTATTCATGATAACTGTATTTCATTTTAATCATACAGTCTCTGCAGCCACACTTAGACAAAGAGGCTGAAGTGTTTAAGGTGAAAAGTGTGTGACTATTATCTTTCAGCTAATGACTTTGAAAATGGGATTTCTCAACTGCAAACAAAATCTTTCAATACAAACAGTGCAACTTTCTTCAGTTACATGTTTTGAATATAAGGTCCACTTTTTCTACTAATGTATTGAAAAGGGGACAGCACCAGTCAGAATGAACAGTTTGTGGGACAGAGTGAGGGTCCTACATCAACATAATACAAGAAATACATTTGTAAAAGGTTATTATAGTTAATATTTATTTTATATTAAATCCGTCACTTCTGTGTATAGATTACCTCTTGGCTTTGTTTTAGACAAACTGGGCTTTTCTTGCCAAGTCTGCTCTTCCAGGAAACAACTCACAATAAAAAATGGCTTTTCTTCCACAAGTCGCTGATGCTGCTCTCTGAAGAAAAAGTACATTGACGCTAATTCATCCTGTTTAAGTCTTTACTGAATTACTCATATTTCCAAGTCCTCCACAGTTTTGGTGCGGGGGAATATATATAAAGTTGTAAGAACGTTATCAGAGCTGGCTATAGCTTTGTTTTATTGTTTTTAATCTACAAAAAAAAAAAATCTTTTAATTTAGTTTTCAAATGTACAAAATACCCGGAGGTAATGAATTGTTGTATGCAGAATTCAAAATAAAAAATAAAAAGTGGGGCCTCAATGTTTTATATGCAGAGATATTTCAGATCAATGGCAGTAAAGGCAACCAGCATATCACACACATCACAATCAGAAATGTTTTTATCCACAAGTTATGAAAGTTAAAAAAAAAGATATAAATTCATGCATAAAAAATTGTCATGAAATTTCTATTATATACAAATATACATTAGGCGCACACAGTAGACAAAAACAACACGTGGTCACAAACTTGATTGGGAATTTGACCCACAACAATCAATACTCAATACTCATAGTGTGACATCATTTCAGTAGAAAAACGTCTTTAATTTGCTTTGTGGAGGATCGGCCTTTTTGTTAGCGGGCCAAAGGAATCAGTGGGAAAAGGCAGAGCGATACAAGCAGAGATAACCTTGGGCCATGGCAGAGGAATGCTGTCACATGCTCGAGTCAACAAGAACGGGCAACGCATAGAAGCAAAGGTGCGTTTCTACGACAACGCCTCAACATCCGGCGCGGTTTGAGACGCCACTGTTTACAAGCAGAACTCAGTCACACCTGCTGAGCAAATCATCAGGGGACTAGTCACATGAGAGAAAACAACTACTTTTTAGGAGATGCTTTGTACGTGCCACAGTGGAGAAGTGTCAGTGTTGTATCAGCGGTTACAGAACAGTAGGAATGAGGAGCACAAGACATAAGATAAATGAACACAACTCCTTTACTTTACTATATTAAGGAATCAAATCTAAAATATCCAACTTTAGCGTCATGAAAAATCAAGAATGATTTTATGTTTTATTTTTGATCTGTTGCTGTGATCAAAGACAACTGTATTTATTTGAGATCTTTTTGACCTATTTTCTTGATAGCAGAGTCCGTTGAATAGTTTCTCTTCATATTTTAGCCCTATAGTATAGTTAAATGCTAATAAAACATGAATTTGTGAGACTATATAGTATTCTAGATTATTTATAATAACTAAATCCAGTTCTTATTTGGGTCATTTATTCAAGAATAAAGCTCTATTTAGAGATGGTGTCTGTAACTTTACATCTATCACTGACAACCTGGCTCTGTACAGTATTGTAAAGTAAGTCATTTTGAAAATATTTTTAAAACAGTCCATTACTGGTCAATTTTGCTGAAAGTTTGACAGGAAGCAGGTGGGGTAAGAGTGGGCGGGTCTTAGTGCTTCAAGTAGAACACCCTCGCTCTCCGTAATTTGAAAAGTAACACAAATATGGAGCATTTATTTTAAAGATGCAAATTTCAGCCATTATTTTCTACTTCCTCACACACAAGGAGCATTCCATTTATTTTTCCGACACCAAAGTGGATTTTTTCCTCCCAATAAGAAGTTCAGAAGTGCTCTCATGTTTACCAAAACAGACTGGGACATTTTTGACATTAGATACTGTTTTATTGCATATATATAGGCTACTTGGAAATAGAGAAAAATCAACTATTGGTGTTTCTTTTAGGATTTATACATGCAATCAATAATCTTGTAATTATGTGCTGGCAAAATTCAAAAGTATCAGTGAAAGGGATGGAAAAGGGCGGATACCACATCAATAAGATAAAAGCTAGGCACAATAGTTTGTTAAACATTTAAAAGGACTTTTTTTTCTTTCTTTTTTTTGCAGAGCTCCAGCGCGCCCTGCAGAAGAAGCCCAAAAGAACATGCATCGTCAAAATGGTGGGCACGAGAAACCTGTGGAAGAACATCGTGGTGCTCTGTGTAAACTCGTAAGTACTGTATTCCCCTTCGGCTCCAGCCGCTGTAGCTCCGGTGTGTGTTTGGCGAAGCGGTGAAAGCCAGACGCCATTTTGTGTTAACCTGAGGATTTTACAGCAATGATCAGCTCCCATCACCGCTCCTCCTTTTCCCTCCACACACACGCACACACACACACACACACACACACTGCACTCTTTTTTTTACATCTCCGCAGGGATCAGTCCATTTCTGTCCGTCTCAATCCGTGCTCGGCTAGTGTCCGCGACGCTCTGTTCGCCATCAATATTGCATGAGGTCTGTCCTTATGAAACATTAGAAGTCCACGAGACAGGGAGTGCAGGATTTGTGGATGGAAGAATACTTAGCCCTGTTTTATATTGCATGGGAGAGGAGCTGGGGTAACGTTTTAGACTCTTGCAGGTGATGAGAAGGGAGGACGGTGAAGGGATGTGTGGGATAAAGCTTTTTATTGTATTTGGGTTGTGTGGCATTTTTTATTTTTAGGAAGGAACTGATAGAGCGTAAAAGATAAATCTCAAATATATCAATATACGTTTCCAAGCTTCCAAGACGCATGGCCACCAGACCTGTACTTTTAATAAGCTATTTTGTAAACTGTAAAACAATAAATATAATATATGAAGTTTTAAGGACATTATTTAAAGCTGGCTATCCTTTTTTAATGTTTATAATCTACAAAAAAATGCATCCTTTCATTTAGTTTTCAAATGGACAAAATAGCAGGAGGTTAGACTGTAATAAATGGTTGAATGATTAAAGAAAAATTATTATTATTTATTTATTTTTATTCAGAAAAATGGGGCCATAGTGTTGTACTGTATATACTGTATTTCAGATCAATGGCTGTAAAGGCAACCAGCACCTCAACACATCGCAATCAGATTTTTTTTATCCCACAAACTAGGAATTAGGTGCAAACAAGTCATAAAAGTAAAAAAACAGATATAAAGCAAGCCCTGACGATCCAAGATGGCGCCCTGTTCAAATGAATGGCTTGAGCTCAGTAGCGCATGGGACTTCACGGGGACCGAAAGATTAGCGGAACTCGCCTTTATTTGGGAATCGTCTGGTCCTGCCGGTTCTGCGCAGTGGACGAGCTCCCATGATGCGTTGCTCCAAATACGCGTGTGTGGCTCTCATGCACGTGCACAGAGGGGCTCTGACCAATCAGAGCTGCTCATCAGAGCAGTGGCGGAGCGGAGCCGGAGCGGAGCCAGAGCAGGAAGAAAAACAGCAGAGTTTGTGGCAGTAAAGAAAACCGATGAAGAAAAAAAGTTCAGGATGACAAGGGTCACTCAATCCCCATAAAATACAATCTTTATGAAAGCTGTAGGTTCTCTGTCAGCTGAGGTCGAGCTGTTTTAGTTTATATTGAGTTCAGTGAATTTAGTCTGCAGTACCACGGGTGCCCCCTGTGCCCTTGGGTGGGACAGCTATAAACTAGTGAAACCCTATCCAGTTATCATTATAGATCCTCCATCAACCACATCACTCCACTGGCTCCCCATCACTCACCGCATCAAATACAAAATCCTGCTCCTCACATTCAAAGCCATCCACGACCTTGCTCCTCCATACCTGACTGACCTCCTCCAGATCTCCACACCTGCCCGCTCCCTCCGCTCCTCCTCCTCTCTCCAGCTCCTGGTCCCTCCTGCCTGCCTCGTCACCATGGGGAGTAGAGCCTTCAGTCGCTCTGCTCCCCAGCTCTGGAACACCTCCGTAACACCGACACATTCTTCAAATCCACCCTCAAAACTCATCTGTTTAGACACGCCTACTCACTAACATAACCACACTCTCCTCTGTCCATGATGCTTTTAACTTTGTATTTTAACTGTTTTTAAAATGCACGTTTTTCTTGTATGTAAGGCGACCTTGAGTGTCAAGAAAAGGCGCCTAAGAAATAAAATGTATTATTATTAATATTATGATATAAAGTCATGCATAGAAAATCTTCATGAAATTTCTACTTTGCACAAATTTACACACAATAGACATATACAACACATGGTCACAGGCTTGATTGTGACATCCAGTGACGTTAAAACATCACTGGGTGTCCTGAGAGTGGCGGCCTTCAAGGTGGTAATGTGTTTCAAAACTGGACAGCGCACACAGAGAAGGCTAACTTCCAGAAAGCACTTTTTTTCCCCTCTTTGCTGAAACATGCATTGTTTTATGTCTAATCATTTATTCATGTCTTGTAGATTGACCGGGTACGGGATCCACCACTGCTTCGCCCGCAGCATGATGGACCCCGAGGCCTTGGAGACCACCATGTTTCACAACTTCTATGCAGACTACTACACTATGGCGGGCATCGCTGTGGCCTCCTGCATGGCGCTGTGTCCGGCCGTGGGTCTCATGGGCCGGAGAGGAGGTCTGCTCATGTTTATGATCATCACGGCTTTGGCTTCTCTGCTCCAGCTGGGCCTGCTTAACTGTGAGTACACTCTATATGCGCCGTTTTAGCTTTAGCCGCTAGTACATCACAATGAAAGCCACCACCATTGCTTGATAGATTGCATTAGCAGGGGAGAATGGGGCACTTAGACGCTATAACACCAGCAAGTGGCTTTGTTACAGGCTTTTAACTGTAGCATTAACTAAATGACATCAGTTTGTTTGGGAACGTGTAATAGGAACAGTGAGATAGATGGGAAAATCAATATCAACTCAAATTCCTTACTTTATCTTAATGCTATAGTGCTACAGCTAAAGGTGCGCAAGAAACGTATGCGCAGTAGCAAGTGAGTTTTACGTATTGACAAAATGGGTGTTTTATGAAATTGGTTAAAATTCAAATATACATGACTTTTGTTTTCTGTTTTTGTCGAACATTGCCACAGAGAGTTGTGCTGTTTTGTCCATGCAAATTTTAGTTCTACAGTGGGAAATATAAATCTATCTAAGTGAATCAGCAAGATATCACAGGTTCAAAAAATAAAACTGCAGAAGAAAGTGAGTTAAAACCCAGGGGTGGCTGTGGTCAGAGGAAAAGAGGAGAAATGACCTTTTGTGTTTTTGCATTCAGGAATTGCACTGAAAGTAGCTTTGTGTGTATATGAGTAAGAAACTATAGCATTGTCTAAAGTTGTGAAAAGTGGATGGAAGTTAGATAAATAAACATTAAGTAGAAAATGTTTTAATAAACCTGATCAATGGAGACATGACTGCCACCCAGAGGTAGAAGTACGGAATAGCACTCTACTCTTTTTACATTCTGGTCCAACATGGAGTAGTCTAGTGTGGTAGACATGACATAAGGACATGAGACACAAACAAATAGCAGTTCATGGAGGAGTCGTACAAGGAGTATTATTACAGGAAGGAATCTAAAAGTAAACAGTGAGTACTGGTATTCAAATTGGAAACTCAACCCAATTGGAAACATCATATCGGAATCACATTATATTATCTTATTCCTGATGGATTGGCAAGCTCTCTCCCCATTGGTCTAAATGTTCTTACTTTTTAATGAAGGTCCAATACCGATAAAATCTCAAAAATCAATAAACTACCAGAAATTAAATTATTTCCTTGAAAAATGTTAACAAAATGCTGAATTCTAACGGTCATAGTCAAAATGCAGTACCTGAGTTGCTCTCTGTAAATGAATGGCAGTGTAAGGAGATAGTGCTCTGAGCTAATTGTGTGGTCGGACATGCTTACAAACAGTTCTTGAGTCAATGTGGGCCAAAAGTCACTGTACACAGCCCTGAGTTTACTCAATAACAAATAAATGTCACTGAAAGTTTAACTCGGCCCTGCTGTAGCGCCGCTTTCTGCCCCACTTTTGTCCAGCTTGTCTTAGTCATGGAAAAACAGCCATTTGCATTTATGCTGAGTGTGTGATACTGGGGTTATTGTGGAAATAGAGATATGAGAGTTTGTGTTTGTGTCTGATAAAATGTTCCTTTTTCTGTATCTACACAGTGGTCGGGAAATACAGCGGTCATCTGAACATAGGTAAGAACTACTTTTCTATATTTGAGTTTTGGAAATGGGTGTCATCACAGTAAAGTGTCAATTAAAGTATCTGGACTTTAATATGTTATAACCAATAAATAATAAAAACTAGAATTACTACCATAGATTTGAAAAAAAAATGCGAACACAGACATATCAAAGAGATAGTTTGAATGAAATCTAAAGAAAATATCGACAAATACATTTTTGGCGTATTGTTAAAAGACATGATCAGCCTCTGATTGGATCATTCTACTGTGACGGCAGTTACATAGATCGGCAAATCTCCCTCTTCAAACATATTAACACAACATCAGTAAATCGCTTAAGTAATGAGAAGTAAAAACTAAAATACTAATTTAAATGACCCTTGAAAAATGTGTAAGGGTTTCCATCATTTTCCATCAGAAAACTGTTCTTTTTTATCAACTACTAAAGGACAGAGGAGGTGTTTGGCTAAATGAAAAACATAATATATCTTCTGATTATTATAATTGAATTGTTGGCCTTTTGTCTCACTTTTCTAACCTTTAGTACCGTATTGTGTTTTAGCACGCTTGAGTTTAGGAAAGATTTGACTGGGTCTGCAGTATTTCATTTGGCCCCACAAATCTTGCGGAGGCCGAGATATAATTACGGTTAGCTTTTACTTATTTGTCTCCTTTGTGTTAAACGGGGCGCGTCTCTTTGAGATTGAGCTGAGGATTTCACAACTGGCCTGTTTCCAATGTTTATCAGACTCTTTATTCTCCTCTTACTAATCCCAGTGTGGGAAGAGCGGCCGCTATCACATTAGTGATCATTTTTATCAAGTCAGACCAAGAGAGAAAGTGGGTTCTAACAAAGCACTAGTGGCATTAATCTTGCAGATCCAGCCATATTTGAGGAAGTCGAATCTCAATATAATTAGTCAACGGAAGCCACAAGATTCATTGCTGACCTGTCCCCGCTTTAGTCACGATGCTTAAACCCGACGACACCAAATTAAATTCAATCAAATGTGTTTGGAATTTAGCCAGTGAAATGTACATAAATAAGTATTATTAGTAGGATTCAGATTCAGAGCTCTTTCTATTCTAAGTAACAGGAACTCACTAGCTTGGAATTTTCTTTAGTAAATGCTGCAGACAAGTAAAATAGATACGGAAGCATGTATAAAAAAAGCAATTCTAACATATGAACACACACAATAGACATTTAACAGTGCAGATTATCGATACGTGATCAGCGGTATGATAATATAATGTGACATATAAAGTGTAAATAGTTATGATTAAGATCGGAAACAAAAACTTTCAACACGTCGGACCATGTTGAAGATGAAACTATGACGATATTGTGACTGTAACATTGTTTTTGTTAGCAGGATTTATGCTTTGAAGGTTAGATTACCAATGGAACAATACAGTGTGATCTCTATAGAGTCATTTTGGAAGAAAGTGTTCAACAAGTCTTACATTGGTCATCAGCAATATGTAATACTTATTGAATACTTTCTTCCAAAATGACTATAGAGATCATATTGTGTTGTTTGTTGTTGGGCTGCGCAATTGTGGAAAAATATCTAATAATTCTGAACAACATAACAATTGCATGGGATTTGCTGTTTCCTGTATGTTTAAAAAGTAAAATTTTGTTCAGAGTAAAAATATTGACTTAAAGAAATAAATTTGAAAAAGAATATAACCTAAAAACAACAATCTATAATACCTTTTTTCTCAAAGAAAGTAAAATTACTTGAATTAAGTACTGTTTTTAATTATTTTATTTTATTCTGCCCAGCAACAGGAAAAAATATACCTTTTCCTTCGACAAATATAAAAAATGTACTCAAACCAAAAAAATATTTCTAAAATTGAAGTGATTTTTTGTGTTTTGCAAATACTTATTATTGCAGTGTTTTTGATTTAACAAGAAAAAATGCTATGTTTGATGAATTCTGCAGCATTATTCAAATTCTCCAACAGAATCAAGAGCATAAGATCCCAAAAAATATATATAAACAAATAATGGAACAGCTGAAATACTTGTACGTTTGACAATAGTAGTACAACTTAATGATTTATCAATGTACTATATTATGTTCTGTCTGCAGAAAACTCAGATACGATAAACAGGAACTTCTCCATTGCCTTCTCCATCATCGGCATGTTCTCCTCCCACGCCGTCAGCAACCTGAGCATCTTCTTCTGCGCTGAGATCACCCCCACAGTCATCAGGTATCAGGCTCCTGCTGGGTCACGGGGAAACATGGATTTACACCTCCTTCAACTTCACTGGAAACACTCTGCTCTTCGATCATATCCGCAGCCAATGCCACAGCAGACATCAGCAAATGTCTCTGTCAAAATATGTTAAGCTAACCAACGTGGAAAGAAAATATATCAAGATTAAGAATAAAATATCCTTTATTTGTCCCACGGAGGAGAAATGTCAGTGTTGCATCAGCGGTTACAGAACAGCAGGAATGAGGAGCAGACAGCAGACAAGATAAATGAACATTAAGTCTATTCTAAAATAAAATAAAATAACTTACTTTAGCATATAATGAAGCTAATCTAAAATTTCCAACTTTAGGATTAGATTAAGAGAGATCCCACAGTGGGGAAATTTCAGTGTTGCATCACAAGTTATAGAACAGTAGGAAAGAGAAGCACACGGCACAAGTAAAGTGAACAATAGCTATACTAATAAGAATACAACAAAATCTCGCATCAGTAAAAAAAATTAAGAAGCAAGAATTAAAGATATAGGAGGGTTTTCTTCTTCCTGGTGGATCATCAAGACTATTGGTCCTCCCAATTGTCAATCATTATGGTCATACATGCTCGTCAAATAAGACCAGAGTTTTGTTCAAAAAGTGGAAAGGGCGGTTCTTTCTTAAAATTTGGGAAAATCCTCCTGTATACCATTAAGTACAAAATCTCTGACCCTAGATAAAAAGTCTACATCTTTAGCATAATAAAGAAGCACCTATATACTGTATATTAAGTCAGGTTAAAGTAGCACAGCTAAGCAATGCTGCGACAGGCCGAAGAAGTGTGGGACTAGTTTTCTGTGGCAACACCTGGTGAAAATGCTAATGCAAATATTGCTGCCACTCCTGCGACTACGTAGCGCAGATTTGAATAGAAACGCACATTTTATCATGACACAAATACATTGGAGAAAGTGATCAAATTGATGAGTTATAATGATTGATGAATCCGCCTTAAGGGACTTGATGGTCCATTCATTCAATTCAATTCAGTTTATTCTTGTTTAGCGCTAAATCACAACAGTAGTTATCTCGGAAGACTTTACACAACCACTGAAATTGCCAACACAGATCAGAGAATCAAAACAGTTCAAACACAAGAAAAAATAAACAGAAAACACATTGGTATTGCTCCAAAAGAGGCAGATACCCAATGTCCATTAGTGACATTAAACATTTTCCATGCAGATATTTCAAGAAACTAAAACAAATGAGCCAATTGCAAGCATTACAATTTGCACATGTTATACCCTCACATAACACATGAAACTAGTGAAAGACCAAACCCATTATAACACAACATTCTTCTACACACAGTTAAGCAGCTCTACCTCTTGTTAAACAAATGGTCAGAAATCATTCATGAACATTGCCGGCCTGCTCTGTGCACAAAAGCATGTTTAAAGGAGCCTCCCCCCCAGGGAGCGTATGACAAAGCATTGTAGAGGTTTCTTATCGGGCGTTATGTAAGAATTGGCTGTGTGTATGCTGCCATCTGGTGGTGACAGAAAGCAAGGGCTGCCAAGACTGCATAAAAAGGGAGTGCCTTTGTTGATACTGCAGCACTCCCTGGTGCTTTGTGATAAAATGACACAGATATATGGCAAGGAGCATGAAATTGAGTGTGTCCTAATGGCTTCAAGATGCTGTATAGTGATGCAGTATAATTACATTCATTTTGCCTTTAATTAAACTGAATGATGATAAGCCAGACATGTGTGATTTACTGCTGGCTATAATAGTTGTTTATATCCCCAGGCTGACAGCGGTTTCTTGTGTTTTTTTCTCTCAGGGGGGGTGGTCTTGGCTTGGTGCTGGCCAGCGCTGGCTTTGGCATGCTCACCGCCCCCATCATGGAGCTGCACAACCAAAAGGGCTACTTCCTCCATCACATCATCTTCGCCTGCTGCACCCTCATCTGCATCATCTGCATCCTGCTGCTGCCAGAGACTCGCTACCAGCCCCTCCCAGAGACGCTGGCGGACGGAGAGAGCTACACCAGGCAGCCTCTCCTCCCACGCAAACCCGGAGAACAGCGCCTCCTGCTGGGCCAGTCGGAGAGCAGCAGGGACTACACCCGGGTGGGAGTGGGGGATACTCCTTTGCATGAAGCCGCCGCCACCGCCGTCTCCACCATGGACTCCACGGCGTCGTCTGCCGTGGATCTGACCGCGGACGTGCCTGTGTTCCTGGAGGTGCACCCCAGTAGGCTCGCAAAAAACCCCAACGGGCACTCGCTTGCACCCCTATCCACGCCAATCTCCATGGGCAAAGACGTGGTCATACATGCCAGTAAAGAACACTTATTGTCTTCCACTCCGCTGCACAAAGCCTCTCGCGTTACAGACCCTCTTTTGACCAGTGCGGAGGAGCCCCCCGCTATAGTCTTGCATTCCCTGGAGAGGCAAGCAAACACTGATGCTAGCAAAGTGAATGAAACTAGCTTTTTTCCGAGCGAGGAACCGGAAGAACCTCAGCCTTCCGTCTCGCAAGAATCCTCCTCCTCGTCCCCGGTGCCTCCTGGTTCACTGATTAGCACCACACCCATCATCGAACCCCCGCCCACTTCTACACTGGAGTCCCCTGAACAGCCTCACAATGGCCAAATTGCACTGAAATCTGAAGCTGCACCGACAGACGAGACCGCGCCCGCCACTTTGCAGAGCGCTCCCGTTCCTACTATGCACGACGACGCTCCCCCGACAGACTCTGAGAACATAAACGACGTTACAGCCGACATTCCACAAATCCATTTAGAAATAGTAGACCAACCCTCAACTGGGGAGCCCCCTTTAGTAATTTCCCAAGAGGAAGACCCCAGCTCCTCTTGCATTGATGATGTAATTTCCTCCAAAGTGTCCCATTCACCTCTTCCTCCACCTCCTCCTCCCTCTCCTCCACCTCCTCCTCCTCCTTCCTCAGACTCTTGCACTCCCCCGGTCTCACATCCTGGCCCCGTCCTCCCTGTTACAGACATTGTGAACTCTACCCCTGCGCTAGAAACAGCAACAACAACAGCTTCCAATGCTACGGACATTGTTCAGGCTGATCCTGACTCAGCCGCTTCCTTAGATCCTCCCCTCCCAGATTCCACACAAGAGAATCCTTCTTATTTTGAAATGGATTGCACCGTGTCCTCCCCCATAGACTCTGGAGTGCTTTCAATACGGGACAGTGCCAGCACAGAGGGCAGCATTGTAGCCGGCTTGTCGACTTCTTGATCAAGTGTCGACGGCCTACAATGAATGCTTTGTGTTTTGGGAACTTCTTTGGGGAGTGCGAACCGTGAGAAACAAAACAACAACAACAACAAAAAAGCAAAGGGGAGCATATAAAAAAACTGTCTGGCACTTATATACATAAGACTGTTTCCATTGGGAGTTGTGTGTGGAAATCTGCCGTGTGATTCTTTCTGTGCTCATTCCTGCAGCCAATGAATGACCATGGTTTTATCAAATGAATTCTTTGAAAACTAGGCAAGTGTTGGTGTGTATTGTACTTTGATGTTTTGCCTGCTCATTGTAACCATCAGAGAAGTTAGGATCCTATTTACAGAATGGGTGGAATATCAGAACAAGCCATAATGATATGAAGAGAATTGACATATTTGGTATGGTATTCAATAACTGAGAGAAGTCTTAAATTTCATCCTAAGTGTTGGTGCTAGCTGGTGCTACTGACTGACGTGCGAGATCGAGACTCATGGTTCTGCTTTAGTGAACGTGGACGCCTCTGTGTTTAATTCATGATTCTAAAATAGCTCCTATAGCTCTCCCGACTCCAGTCTTCCTTCTTGTGTAAATATATTGTCACACATGAAGCACAATACTTACCGACACTCGTTGTTTTATGAATTAGACCTTTTTACCGAAGACCGAATGAGCGTTTTTGGACGTGTGGAAGTGAGAGTGCCAGAGGCTGGTTGTTTTATTTTTGTGAAAAGTCATTGGAACTCACCAGCCTTTAATCGCTACTTTGATGAAAGGTGATATTTGTCATTTAAAACTCTTCAATAGCCACAATCATGTGTGTGACTGGGACTGGGAGACGGCCTACATACAGAACTCAAGTCAGCGGTATATTAACTTATGTTTTGTGTATATTGCCTTACCTTCTGAATGTGTGAGTATTTCTAACAGTACAAAGGTAAACAATCAAATTGATTTACTTCATGCAATGCCAAAAAAGACTCTGCTGACCAAAATTGTAAATGTAGAAATAGTGCCAAAAAATCAGTTGGATATAAAAAGTAAGGAATGAGATTCAGTATTTTTATTCGAAATTGTTTTTTCCCCTTGCCTGAGCACTGCATCGGCATCAACAGACCATGGAAGGGCCTTGAAAGCCTCTCCAAGCTTAGTAAATGTTTTTATATGTGCGTTTGTTGACACCATGAACTTGCCATCAGTTATGTTTAAATATATTTTCAGTATTTTAAAGCTCAGTATTTGTCACGGCCTATCCATATTCCACCATTTTGTTTTATGTTTGTCTTGCATTGGGGTCAAAATCATGAACGTAAGTGAGAGTGTCAGCCATACAATTTTGACAAGATGTGTTGTAAACATTGCAAATGATCTGTGTCTTCAATCGTAGAATATCAAAGCAATGATTGAGATTGCATAAGGAAGGCCTGTAATATTTGCCAATGAATCTTTTGGTACATACTTTGTGTCATGAAGGTCTCGCCATGCAGTGAGAAACTACTGTTTACAGAACTTCTCATATAATAACACCAGTGTACTGTACTTTTAAAGAGCCAATAATTGTCTTGTCATTTCAGATGTAATAGAACTTCTCATAGTTCGTTGCAAGTCTTTTAATCCAGGAATAGATATTTTTAGCATTTTTGTTTCGTAAAGTATGCAGCAGGTACGTCACCAAGTTACTACTTTTTGCTCCAGTCAGATGTGCACTGACTTTATAACAAAACCTTTCCTAAAAACTAATCCTTTGAATCAACAAACTTCCTTTTCCAAACACATGTGTATGATCTGCGTACATGGATCTGGTGGAATATAATGACCGCTGCTGATGGGAGAAGTGTGAGAAAATAAACTGGTCGAGGCTGTAATTAAATATATTGATACGTTTAGTTGGCTGATTATTCTTTGATTAATCGATTGGTTGTTTAGATCCTGAAAGGTCACCAACTATGGAATTTTTTAATCATGTGACCAAAACAAAGCTCAGTGACGCCCCTGCCCTGGAGAATATATTCATAGAGATGACTTGTCACTTGATTCGATTGTCCAATAAGAAATAATTATCACACATTATCATTTAATTCTGCATTCAAGAATTATGAAAGTCATAAAACCTCTTCTCTGTTTGTGTCCCTATCAGGTTCTCAAAAAATGCTTAATCTATAACTGAATTAGTAGATCAATATATGGTCACAGTAAAACACCAGTGTAGGCAAGGCGGGTTAAGTGTCTTGCCCAAGGACACATAGCAGCATTCACAAATAGGAGCTGGTTTCACACCTGCCAACATGTGGGTTAATTAACCGATCAAAATGTATTTCTATAGCACAGTTTATACAGAATGCCACTCTAAAGTGCTTCACATTGACAGCATTTAAAATAAACTAAAACACACTGTAAAAACACATACAAATGGCCAAAAAAAACCCAAAAACAGTATTGAGCACACCTGATAAAAATAATCGTTTTCAGCCTTGACTTGATTATAGCTAGGGTAGGGGCCTGTCTCACAACTTCAGGAAGATTGTTTCAGATTTTAGGTCTGGATAGGTCTGGAATGTTCCCCTCCCCATGTCTAGCCCCAGCAGAAGGCCAGTCCCGGTGCTCTTCAAAGTTTGAGTCTAATCTAACTGCTCAACCAATGATGTTTATGACAGAAGCAGGATTCAAACCGCTAACCTTTACCAACCGAGCTAGTTGTGCCTCGACAAACTATTTCACCAATCGATTAGTTGCGATTAACTGATTGACTTGTTCCAGCCCCTACTGTGGTCATCATATTCTGTCTTGATCCGTGTATAAGTATACGCTGCTACGCCTCAAGCACAATGCCCTGAGATGATGTGACATTAAAGTGTGTCTGGACAGCAAAAAAACAAAAAAAGGGAACTGAAATCATGTTTTAAAATATTTAGGAGTTGAATTCGTATTTATTTTAAACGACTTCAAGAACAGGGTTTTTTGACACTGGATTTTTTTCTTCCTTTTTCTCTTTTTTTAAGATTCTTGCTGCAGTGGTCAGTTGCTCTTGCATTTGTCCAATGTGCTGTCTTGTCTGTGGGTGTTTTCCATCCGTCTCAAAGTGCAAACTCACCGATAACATCCTCCAATCGTCAGTAAAAGCAGGTGTTGAAGACGGTGACAGCACAAAGACAATCAGCTTCCATGTCTGCAGCGCGAGGGGAGGGCTGGACATGTTACCGTGTTTTTAGTAAAGCATGTGGTTTCAATTCTATTCTAAATGTTAAAAAGAAATGTTGACACCAGCGAGCGTTGACGAGCTCCTCTGAACTGCAGGGGCTGAAGTTTCTTTTGGGAACGCGTGTAGAGCTGTTTTGTTAAGGGCTTGTGCGTCTGATGTGAACTGTTTTGGGGACCCCCAGTGCACACATTTCAGGTTCTCTTCTTTTTACCCGTACGACTCTCCACTGAAGACTTGAATGAATGTACAAAGAAATCATTGATTGTACCATTTATAATTCCAGAGTGATTGGTTTCATGTTTTTATGTTGTTATAACATGTATAATGCACTTGTATATAAGCCATACATGTTGTTGAAATAAAAAAAAAACACTATTTATTGATCAACTATGAGGTCTGCATGGTATTATTTTTATATAAAACTGAATATATTGAATTAATTTTGCTAATCAAAAAGCAATTAATTATGATTCAACACATTGCCACTTTGTAGTCTACAATAAGACAATAAAAATATACAAAATAGTCGATTAACTAAGTAATAATAATTCACATATCAGTCTGTAAAGAAGTATACCCTGGCTAATTAAATATAACAAGGAATATGTGTGCTTATGTTGTGCAGTTGGAAATGATTGAAGCACACACAGTGGGTATTCCCAGGAAAAAAGAAGCCCTCAAACAAGATAAAGAACGATTACTATTCAGTGAAAAATAAAATCTAATCTTTAGGCTATAAAAATCTTTAGCTGAAGTAAAAAGCTATAATTACAATATAAATAACATTATTTACGTACCCTAAAAAGCACTTTACACTGAAAGCAATATTGTCTGTGGGGTTTCAGACTAATATTTTACGATGATCAGGTTTAAAGCAACATAAAATAAGTTTTGTATGGAAACTATTCATATTGATGTTTTATTTTATTATCCAGATACACAATAACACATTTGAAACCTTGTCACGGTCCCTTTGTTTGTTTATGAATCTTGTTCCAACATAAATATTATTTTGTTTCTCCATTGTGAGAATTGTGTATTTACAATACTATTATTGCGCAGTACAGCACAGGTTTTTATTTGGCCTCTCCACACACCTGACTCATACACTTAGAGTTTGTTTCCATGAAAAAATATTATTTTCTTGGCCATGATCTCCCTTGCTGTGGAATAGCACTAATCCATCCACCTGTGTCTGTATATATAATAATATTTTACAGTCAATGGCATATTTAGTGGCTATTGTGTATAATAATTTGCAGTTGCCATATGTAACAAAAACACATATGATTCATTATATTCAGTATATAGTTATTGGACTGTTTTCAGACTGGACCCACACCCATTTCTTTCTCCAAACTCCAGCGCATGAGGAGACAGGACCAGACAAGTCTATTTGGTCAGCACTATTCACGCACAACCAGGGCTTACGAGTGCATTAATTTACCTTGACATCCTGCGCAATTGGCTAAAATACGCAGACGAACCCGCAAAGAAAAAAAAGGTATCTGTCTGTGTTATTTGTTATCCGCGGGATGGGTGAGCTCATGCCGAGGGGGGAGGTGGGGGTGGATTGGGTGAACTCAGCGGAGGTGATGAGACTGCATGATTCCGTGGACCACTGCATCAAACCGGAGCTCAGCCATTGGCCAGAGTCAGCGCTGATGGATGCAGGGGATGCTGCCGTGTACGTCACAGGGACCACGCATCGCCACATCCACAGCAAGACGCTCACAACATTGCAGAGCACGTTCTATAACACCGCGACACCCTGACGACAAAAAGGAACTCACTTCACCTTCACCACCATGAGGGAAATCGTGCACATCCAAGCTGGACAATGCGGGAATCAGATTGGGGCGAAGGTAACATTGGAATGACTAAAAATATACGTGGAGTTAATGAGAAATGCGTTGGATTAACCTCTTGCGCATGTATAATTTTTTGCTATTTTTTATGAATAAACTTTAGCCATGAGGTCTTGGGTGGGGCTCTTTCTGCTGACCTTTTTTTTTTTTGGTGCATAAAAGAATAAACATTCACAGTTCATGTATAATCTTTTATGCTTGTGATATTATATGCATAACAAATTGGAATGTTTTAACTGGATATTTGTCTTTTCGTTTTAGTTCTGGGAGGTGATAAGTGACGAACATGGCATAGACCCCACTGGGAGCTACCAAGGTGACAGTGACTTGCAACTGGAGAGGATCAACGTGTACTATAATGAAGCTTCCGGTATGTCGTTTTAACTTTATTTATTCATAAACATTGCATCCATGGCTGATCATCTCCTTTGCATGAGCTGAACTCCTCCATGTTTCATTAGGCTGCACTTTAAAGAGACATTCGGGGATATAGCATTACAAAACATATAGCATTGTGTTCATAATAATGATTAAAACAGCTGAATTCTGAAACCAGCAACAATTGATATACCCTGACTCTATATTTAGCCAAAAGTGGATTTTTGTTTAATTTTTTATACGTGAATGAATGATTAAGGCATGACATTTATAACTCATCAATATGTATGACCTGGAGTCCGTTGCGGGGAGAGGGGAAAGGTGAAACAGATTCAATCACAATTTGAAGTTCAAATTATAACTCAGTCGTGCATGAACCAATCCATATAAATCTGTGGCTAACATCAAAGAGACACTATTATAAACAGATGCTTTTGCTTTATTTGCTTCTTTTAAAGCTGGGGGACCTAAATACAAAAAAACACAAAAATGACTTATATATATTATTATTATTTTTTCTTTTTTTTTTTGTTTATGAAAAAACATAGTCACTAGTTCCTTGCTCTTATAGAGAATTTGGTTCTATCATTTGTTTATGTTGTTGCTTATTCCTGCCCCCCCCCAATAAGGACCCTTGCTCAGCCAATCAGCTTTCAACCCAAGGAGCCCTGTAAGTCAAAAAGTGACTTACAGGGCTCCTTCTTATATAGTCTACTAAACACAACTATGTTTTTTTCAAATACATGTTTAAATAAGACACCACAATGCAGGGCTAATTTGTTCACAACAGTTTACATCCACAAAACTTTCTGTTTAAAAAAAAAAAACACAAAGTGAAGTACCCCAGCTTTAAGTTCAGCCCAGGCCTTGTCATTGGCCGATGGGAGAAAAGAGGCTAATGAAGTGAGATGGTAATTGCTTTGTATCTGTCTCCTCTTGTGTGTGTGTCCACAGGGAGCACAGGTATCTGCAGTCTCAGCCTCCTTCACCACCAGCACCACACCATCAGCGCTGTCTGACTAGAATGACCTGGCATGTTGAAGGTTATAGTAAAAAAAAAAAAATAGCATCTTGAATTACGCCAGGCAGTGCAGAGAGAAAAGGGATCAGCTCTGAAAGTGTGCGAATGGCTCTGCTGTGTGCAAACGGGCATGTCCTGTGCCTGCAAGCCATTTCCTCTGCCATTTTCACTCGCAAAGATAGCGTCGTGTGAGGTTTGCTTTCTGATTGATATGCACATTAGAAGTCAGTATTCCCCACTCATCTGCTATTATAGGTGTTCTGGATTTTACGAGTAAAAAAATACACTTTGCATGACTTTGCAATTCTATTCAATTCAATGTATTCTTGTATAGCCCTAAATCACAACAGTATAAACTTGGCAGACTTTACAAAACCGTTGAATTCGCCAACACACATCAGAGAATCAAACCATTCAAACCCAAGAAAGGCCATAATATATAACACATAAAGCCATTGGTCCATCTGAGAACAATATTGTTTGATTAAAATGATTCCCAAATTACTCTTGCTTAAATATCAAGTTTTACTAAGCTATAGTGTTTTCCATGGCCGTGTTGCAACTTGAAACAAAAGGTGATAGCTTCTTTGTCAGACTTTTTGCCTCCTCAGCACTATTACCAGCAGGGCTAAAATAAGCTGCATGGATTTTTTGCAGAGGCGAGCTGTTGGAGATCTGGGTTAGGACCAGTATGAGGGGAGGTGCAATGACGATTTCTGCAGTGGTTTAAAAACTTTCACACAAACCACAGTTATGCAAGAGTTCTGAATCATTGGCTCAAAATAGTTGCGACTAAAACTAGGATTGAGACTATCGCTGTCCTTTTATATCCTACATTATCTGCACTACACTTGTGCACTGTATATGTAAATCTTCAGTCAGCGTAATTTTGTCTGAACATATGTGAACAAAAATAGTCGACTTCTAAATGAGTAGATGTTGCTTCGAGCCAAGACAATCCAGATAACCAAACTTATCAAAGCATCACCTGCACTTGCTAAATTTCTTCTCTCAATCTTTCTCATCTCATCTTTTTCTGTTCAAAGGCAGTAAATATGTCCCTCGTGCCATCCTGGTGGACTTGGAGCCTGGCACCATGGACTCGGTTCGCTCCGGTCCGTTTGGGCAGCTGTTCCGACCAGACAACTTTGTATTTGGTGAGTGCTTTTGCCGCATACCTCTGTCTGCAGCAGCCACCGTCAGATCCAGTTAGATTCGGCAGAGTAGGCCCACCTGAATACAATAGACGCAGGACAGACATGAAGCTGCAGTGAGTCTATGCACACACACACACACACACACACACACACACACACACACACACTCACAGCTGTGTCAGACTGAGACAGCTCCAACAGTGACTCAGCGAAATAGCAAAATACAAAGAGGGGGTGCTGCAGTGCTCATCGCTCAACAAGACGCAGCAAGAGAAAGTGCTAACGGTGATCATTAACTCTGCAAAAGGCAACCATAACACTTGCCCCTGCTTGGATTTACCAGGTTCCTTTGTACTATGTAGTTTTAAATTACTAAAGCCTAAAGCAGATGTACGCACACAGATGGCAACAGACGGTTGTATTTTAAAATAATCGTCAAGAAATGAAGAAAAGGCAGCGGCGATTGCACCTGGAACACGGTTTATCTTCGAGTCTTTCCAGACTGAACAAAATGAGACAAAAGCTTTTTATACGATTTGTATCAACCTGCATAGACAGAGACGTCATCACTTGAGATATTAAGGACGCATGTTTAAGATTTAGATACTGTAGTAACGACGTGGGTCAGAACAAATACGTACAGTTCTTCAGGTAACAATGTTTAGCAGTAATACAGAAAATATGCAGCTCAGATTCTACATCAATACATAGGGGTGACTGAGGTGCCTGTGGTTATTATGTGTTAGCTAAAAGGAGAAGTTATCTACTGTCTGATACTTATGACATCGACTAAAACAGTATTTGAAAATGTTAAAGCCTAAAGGAGCTTGCAAACTTGACTCATACTTTACCTGCTCGATTCAGAAAATGTTCCTATTCTTATAATCATCGGCATTCTGGCAAGATAAGTATTTATCTCCATAAATTAATTCAGGAGGGTAACAAACCTCAAATCTCAATAAAGTTACTGTACATCACTTTTTTTTGGTGTACGTACACAGCCTTACTGAGACACTCGTTGACAAAATCCGTGGGTGCATGTCATCCCCTCGTATAAAACCGGCAGCACTTCTGGCACATGTATATTCTTGAGAAAACTGAAATAAACCTTGTCAAGGTTCACCCCTGTGTCTTGCATTTCATGATCTCTACAACTTTAAAAAAAACATCTTGCTACTGGGGTGTCAAACTCATTTTGGTCTAGGGCCAAATTTCAAAAACATAAAGCTGGTTGGGGCCATATAATTTAAATATTTTGCATTTGACATGACTTCGAAAATTATTTTACAACAGATACAATTAAATGGTTGTTTGCCTGAGACAATAGGCTTTAAAGTTAAGTGTAACATGCAATAGTAGCCCATTACCATCAATGCAACAAGTTACTGCGATAACTGCAAAAATAATTTCAGGGGCCACTAAAAATGGTCTCGCGGGTTGGATTTTCCCTTAAGCCTGAATTTGACATGCCTGGTCTATAATATGACTCCCACTGATGTCTGCTGTCATTGTGTCCTTGGGCAAGACACTTAACCCCTCTTTGCCTAAAGCCCCCACTGAAAGATCTCAGCTCCTGTGGACTCACCACCTGCAGGAGGATCAGTGAGAGGCTGGTACTAAGTATACTGGGTGCACCCCCGACCCAAAGATGGATTAAGGGGAAGAAAATGAATGGATGGATGGATGGTCTATAATAAAACACTGTGATGATATAGACTGAAGTGACTATCTGAGCTGTATGTCCTGCAGGTCAAAGTGGAGCTGGCAACAACTGGGCAAAGGGCCACTACACTGAAGGTGCCGAGCTCGTAGACTCTGTCCTGGATGTGGTTCGTAAGGAGTCCGAGAACTGCGATTGTCTGCAGGGTTTCCAGCTCACTCATTCACTGGGAGGGGGCACCGGCTCTGGCATGGGCACCCTCCTCATCAGTAAAATCCGAGAGGAGTACCCCGATCGCATCATGAACACCTTCAGCGTCATGCCGTCCCCCAAAGTGTCCGACACCGTGGTGGAGCCCTACAACGCCACACTGTCTGTGCACCAGCTGGTCGAGAACACCGACGAAACCTTCAGCATCGACAACGAGGCCTTGTACGACATCTGCTTCCGCACTCTCAAACTGACCACCCCGACCTACGGCGACCTCAACCACCTGGTGTCCGCCACCATGAGCGGGGTCACCACCTGCTTGCGTTTCCCCGGGCAACTCAACGCCGACCTGCGCAAACTGGCCGTCAACATGGTCCCCTTCCCTCGCCTGCACTTCTTCATGCCCGGGTTCGCACCCCTGACCAGCAGGGGGAGCCAGCAGTACCGCGCCCTCTCCGTGCCCGAGCTCACGCAGCAGATGTTCGACGCCAAGAACATGATGGCAGCCTGCGACCCACGCCACGGCCGCTATCTCACCGTAGCTGCCATTTTCCGTGGGCGTATGTCCATGAAGGAAGTGGATGAGCAGATGTTGAGTGTGCAAAACAAGAACAGCAGCTACTTTGTGGAATGGATCCCCAATAACGTCAAGACAGCCGTGTGCGACATACCTCCTCGCGGTCTCAAAATGTCCGCCACGTTCATTGGCAACAGCACGGCCATTCAGGAGCTGTTTAGGCGCATTTCCGAGCAGTTCACAGCCATGTTCCGACGAAAGGCCTTCCTGCACTGGTACACCGGAGAGGGCATGGATGAGATGGAGTTCACCGAAGCAGAAAGCAACATGAACGACTTGGTGTCCGAGTACCAGCAGTACCAGGACGCCACCGCGGACGAGATGGGAGAGTACGAGGAAGACGAGATGGAGGACGAAGAGGAAGTGCGTTCCGATGTCCGCCATTGATCGCCAATGCAGCCATGTTAGGAATGTCTCTGGACAGCGCAATAATGATAACAGAAGTGATTGTATAGCCGCATTTTAAAGAAGCCTATATTAGTGTTAATTCAAGGTCAAATCAACATGGTTCAATTGTTAAACGTTAGCAACCAGTTCCAGCTTTGCCAAACTAACCTGTCTCGAATGTCTAAATGCAGTTTTGTAACATTCAGTGAACACATTCTCTCTGTCAAGTTGTGTGTCAAATAAAACAAAGCAACTTAAATATAATTGTGTGTTTTCTATCGGCTTTTTCGCGCTATTGGGAGCATGCAGAGTTCTCCAGAATATTGATGTCATATTGATGTGGTTAGAAAAATAATCTAATACAAAATAATCCACAAAGACTAAATGTATGACTCTGCCTGAAGAGACAGACACGTTCACTTCCTTTAACAAGAAAAGAGCAAGAATTTGACCCCAGTCAGTGAGAAAGGTTTGACTGATGGACTTTCCACTTTACAAGAATAGCAACTGTCTTGGAATGACTTACATAATGATAGATAAGAAAAGATGTCAAAAAGATGTTAGCCTATTTCATTGAAAACATAATTATGGAAACATATAAAGTCGCATCTGTAGAAAAAATGAAAGCCTCTAAAACACATTGCAACCCTAACCCTAAACCTTTTTGTTGGTGTGAAAGAATTACACCCATGAATCATTAAAGTCATGTCAATGATAAGGTGAATTTACGACTCCAAAAAAAGATGACCTTTGTTTATATTATCTTTGATATATTAATGATCTTTTCACAACTTAATAATAATAATAATGAAAATAATAATAATATTGCATTACTTTTGGGCGACAGTAGCTCAGTTGGTAGAGCATCAGCCTTTGGGCCTGGGGGTTGTAGGTTCAAATCCACCACGAGAGCTACTGTGAGATTTCTTAAAACTTTAAAGCAACTTTTGTTAAAGTTAAACTCATCATTCTATCAATGTGCAGAAGCCAGTACTTTTCCCTTGTTTTGTCTATCTGAAGGCCAAGCTACATGGGACCGTGGCAGCTGCTGATTGGAGGTCTCCATGCCTCCGCTCTGTATAATACACTTGCATTCTGTTGTATCTGTGATCGTGTGCTTTGTTCGTGCTGTCTCTACCATCGACAATAAAACATGTCTTCTGTCTGAATTTAAGACGCGATCCCAGACTATGTCATCTTCTTCACTACTTCATGACTCCCACTGATGTCTACTGTCGTTGTGTCCTTGGGCAAGACACTTAAACCCACTTTGCCTGAAGCCCCCGCTGGCCCCCATGAAGCCCCCATACAAATATGTATGATTTATCTTCAGTACATGAAGATGGTGTGTAGATACATGTATTTTTCCCCACAATGTTTTCTTATCAACATAGTTTCTTTGGGTAAAAACAACATTTACTACAAAAGATAGGTTCCCCACCTTCTACTTTGTGGCAGCATGAAACATTCCTATGTCTGATAACATGAATAGACTCTGAGAGAGTAGGGTTATAGACACTTGACAACAATAACTGTGCAGTAAATGTGCTTCACATGTGGACACACCCTTGAACGGCTGTCAAGAAAAGAATTTTCCATCTGTCACCCAGAACACATCATTCTGCTCCTCATAGGGAGTTTAACCGACCAAGAAGGGCCCTGGATCAATTTTCTCTGTATTAAATGTATTAATGTGCACTTACTGCATTAATACATATATATTCTTCAGCTTCCTTACCATTGGTTCTGTTAATATTGTCAACTCACGCTAAGGGGTCTGTTTTTTTACATTGATATGGCCATGTAGACATTCATGCTTTACTAATTCATTAAAATCTGGAAAGACTTATGACAATGGATATACTAGTGTTTGTTGTGTTACATGAAAAATATTGATTATATAGTTAGACCGTGGCAGAATATTTTGCATGATTGCAGGATTGAACTGAGATAAGGTTGTTGAGGAAGCTGAGCCGATGACATGATTAGTGACTCTTCCACTGATGAGCTGGTGATGGGGAGGAGACGGGTTGCTGCACTGACATCAGCTGAATGTAGGAATCCCGGAGTGGTATTGCAAGTATGTCAGCGCACATGCTTATGGACGTTTATGAGCCGGGACCCGCCCAAACTGGAAATTAGTCTTCTGGTCTGTATTTTCACTCTAGTTCTCATATTATAGACAAGGCATGTCATTGATAAATTAAAGCTATTGGTTTTTTTTCAAAATGGAGTCTCCCTGATCATACAAAACATGTACAATAGTCCCCCATAACACCCTCGCTGACCCCTCTCTCTCTGGGGCCAGGACTGGCTTTCATGAGTTATAATTGCTCTAAAATGATAGGTAATACTAAACCCAATAATAGACGGAATAATAACGAATGAAAAATAATACGTTTAATGGCACACCATCGTAGGTTAGTAGGTCATGGAACAGAGCCAAAAGCCTTCAGGCACACAAATCTCTTCCTTTTGATCTTCACACTTCAGACAGTTGTAAGCTCCAGTTGTTTTTCCTCTGTGACCTACGTTTAAGACAATATATACAAATACAATATCATCTTTTGTCTTTGTCAATTTTTCATTTCAAGTAAATACTGTGATAATGTTAATTCTATAATTTAAATAAACACAATTAATTAAAAAAAACCTTAGATTTCAAAACCCAGTCAGATTTTCTTCACTCTTAACTCGTAAAGGTAGTCCCATATCATATACAAAACAATTCTACCTGTTATTTGCAAATATTCAAGCACAATTATTAATAGAAAAAAATATTTTACAACAGAGTGCAGCAACAAAACAAAACACAGAATACTAAAATTAGTTTTTTGGTATTTTTTTTGGTGATATCTATAATCATTTGTGCAAACAGCTCTTCATGGTGCTTCTTTAGTTATAACGTTTTCAGCACTGAGAAAAAAATATACATAGGGTTATTTTTGAATCCAGCCTTATAGAATATTGCTAATGTTGCAAATGCTATGAAAAAAACAAGAATATAACAAGATTAAAGTTATGTTAACCTATTTTCTCTTCATATAGTGGGAGTGTTTGCAGAGTCTCGGACTTCTTTGGCTAATGAGTATGCTACACTGACTGGTTTGGCCTGCTGTTTACAAAGGCGTTTCTTTTCAGTCGTACAAGATACTACTGAAGGCAGAACACCCAGCGCTTTAGGCCAGTTCAACAGGGTTCAACTTTGGAGTCAATGAACTACTGTCCAGTGTCCTTGAATGTCCTTACTTTCCCATGCGTGCAGATTGAAACAGCAATACAGTGCGACAACAAAATCTCAAATTTGCAACAAAAAAAGTGAAAAATAGTGATAAGGTTGTAGACAGGCAAGAGTGTAGTAGCACTGTACAACATCCAAAGACACAGTGATGGATTGACATTGAGGCTTTACCAAACAAAGGCGACACTATGCTCTGGATTCAGTGACCGAGACTTTCTTATGATGCACAACCACTCTCTGACTCCCCTGTGCCCTGGGAACTGTAGTCAAGCCAAAGTCGACCTCAATCGACCCAGCGGAACCGGTCAATCCGACTCCCCCACCATGACTAGAACTGGCCAATCTGACTCCCCCACCATGACTAGAAGTGGTCATGTTGATTCCCCCGCTTTGAATAGAACTTCCCACACCAACTCCTCCACTTAGACTGCTAACCGCCCCCTGCCCCTGCCCCGCGACCGCCAGACCCTGCCCTGAGTGAACGACCCTGTGCGTGCCTCTCTCCCTCACACCCCCCTCTTCCACCACAATCACCTGTTGAGACCTGGAAGTAGTAGCGTTACGAACGGATTGTCCCGATGCCGATGATCCGACCTGCCTATCCACGAGAACCACGCCCTGAGAGCTCTGAAGCCCGCCCACCTGCACAAGCCCCCCCACCTGTCCGACCGCCTGCTGCGCACCCCCCGCCACCAGCACCACCTGAGGCTTGGGCTCCACCACGTACATAGGCGTGGCGGCGTAGTACATGGTTGGCTGTTGGATGAGCAGGGTCTGGGTGGGCATGCTGACACAAACGCCTGGATGACTTTGCTCTTTGATGAGGGTGGAGGTTCCTGTGAGGTGGGAACTCCCGGCGATGTGGGAGGTTCCGGGGACGTGGGAGGAGTTCAGGCTGATGTGCTCGCGGTCGCGCACTGTTTCGGAGTGCGTGTGGAGGTGTGTGTGTGTGGGGGAAGGTATGACCGGAGAGACGGGGAGTTTGGGGGAGGAGATGAAAATGCCGGTGTCCACGGTGTCGGTGACGATGGCAGATCCTTGGCAGATGTTGGCCAGCTTCTTAAACTTGGGTCCGAGGTCATTGAGGAAGGACAGGTCGTCTTCGTTCTCCAGGAGACTGCAGCAGCCCACCGACCCGGCCAAGGACTCCTGGCCCTCATAGTCGTACACCTTAAAGGCATCCTTCTGCTCGTTCTGCCTTGATACGTAGTTCGCTTTCTGCAACACAAAAATAAAGAATTCTCAAAGAAATGGGGAAAGACTCACCTGTCAAACGGGATACGTACATATTTTTATATCTGATCAAGAAGTGACTGCATTGACTTCAATTGCATTCTTATAAGTGAAAGCATGTATGTGTTCTGGAAAAAGTAATGTAATTATGTGATCATGTCAGTTCCAATTCAGTTTTGGATATTAAAGGAGACAGTATAAACAAATGTAAAATGTGGTGGACAGTGTTTAAGTAGCCGAGTGAAAAGGCTTAACTAGAGATACAAAAATACCTTGGAGCGCACTTTAGATCTATGTAAAGCATTCGAAAGGCTGCAGGCTATGTCTCCTGTTAGCTGCTTGGCAGCCATTTTTAGAAACTATTTGCAAATCAAAACAGCAAAACAGCAGAGAACGATTTTAATAAAATGTATGCCATGTGCTAGAGGCAGAAATGTCACAATACTACAATTTTGTTTGGGTTTTACTGATCAAAATTGATTATATTATGTTTTTGAAGCTATTGTTTAATTGTTTTTTTTTAAACATATATTTGTGGAATGAAGAATTCCAAGTATTTAATTTACAAATACATTTAACAAAAAATGAGGGAAGGAGCCTATTGTAAATGTTTTAGGGTAAACCAGAGCAACTTGAGAAGCTAGTTATTTAATATTTTAATGTATGTTTTATCTTATTCCCTCATTAGGTTCATTCAGGTTCTTTCAGGCAAAACATAAAAGCTTTCAGTGTGCCATCTGGTTCACTGGATCCAGTCAGTCTTCATTAGACTCTGGGACTCAGGAGGTAGAGGATCTGCTATCATTTAGAATTCAGTCCCCAACATTGTTTTATGTTCTTTGCAGCAGATACAGAATAACAATAGGTAATACTGATGGAACAGTCAATCATTTAAGGTGTAACACCCCCTTTTTAAAATTAGAATATTTAGACTTACACTTAAATAATAGTCCTCTAGGAATTCTAGGGACAGAGCCATGCCATCGAAGACCCCAGCTCCGCTCTGGGTCAGGTAGTGCCCGTGTCCCAGCGTGCCTCCCTGTGAGAAGTCCCTGTGGCCTTCGCCGCGGTAGAAGCTGTACTGGTTATGGTGGTCCATGTTCTCTGTCCATGTGGAAGTGTGCATGCCTCCGCCAAACATCCCTCCTCCTCCTCCTCCACGTCCTCCTCCGAGAGATGCTCCGCCGCTCAGAGCGTTCACATCTTTAGTGACCACTCCACCACCACCACCACCACCGTCCACTTCCACTGCGTTGAGAAGCGGGATTTCCTGGAATCACATTAAAATACAAATGTTTTATATGTTTGTATGGAGTAGTCCTATTCATGGCTCTCGTGTATATTGCAATTTATATACTTTGTTCATGCAAAAGTTACAGTACTGTGTTTTTCTAGTCGTGTATGATAAAAAAATCGTATGTTATTGATTGAAAATATCAAGCCAAATGAAAAAGCTAGTACAACTACATAATGAGTTGGAGTCAATTTAGCATTTACTTCGTCCAACCTTTTGTTCAAACTGTTTATTTCTGTTGATTTGGTATCCTGTTGTAATGTTTTTTGTATCTTGTTTATTATGTATACTTTAATTTTGATTGTTCGAAATAAATCTCTTACTTATTTCTTACTTTTCAGTTTTTTGTGTGTGTAAAGATGAACCAACAATGTAAAATTGGTTGATTCCATTTCTATAGGTTTATATTATTCAAATGTGGGCAATAGTACAACACATATAGAGCAATATTTCTGTATATACTAATCATGCCATGATGAAAACGATATGTATTTTTTCTCAATAAACAATTAATCTATTCCCTGCAGTGTGACAGCTCATACTGTCACGGTTCTAAATACAGATTGCCGACATGAGATACCTTGTCTTCTCCTTGTCCCTCAGTGTGATATGAAATAAGCTGCTGTTTCGTTTCAAAGGGAATCGCCTTGAAATCGGCCAAACCAGAGGCCCCTCCACACAAACAGAACAGCAGCAGGAGAGGGAGCACTGAAACAACAATCAGACTTTAGTGAACTGCTTTCAACAGTACCTGGCCCGAGACCAAGTCCAACATTGTGAGTTCCCTCTTTTGACCATAAGTTTGGGAAATGTAAACAATAGAAGTTGCGGTCTTCATGGTTCCATTGTATGAATCATGCAGTTTAAAGCTCGGGTACCTAACTTTTCTTTGGTTTCATAATTACATGTTGTTTGTCCCAACAGCGTAACATTATGAGAACAAATGGAACCACAACATGCTGTATTCATATAATAATAACAAAATAAAAATGAACATTTGACTTTTTAAATGCTGAGAGCTGATTGGCTGAGACAAGGCAGGTCATAATCTGATCTAAATATGTGACAGAGGCCAAAAATACACACACGTGAAGAACTAGGCATAGAACCAAACTGTTTTGAGAGCTGGGAACTAAGTTGCATAGTTTTTTGTGGTTTCAATGTTAGGTACTGCAACGATACTCTTTAAAACAGATAACAATTGACTGAAAGTTGTGGGTACAGCTTCTAAGCAAGAAGGTTGTGGGTTCGAATCCCGGTCAGAACTGGGCCTTTCTGAGTGGATTGTGTATGTTCTCCCTGTGTCTGTTTCGGTTTCCTCTGGGTGCTTCGGTTTCCCCTACCACTAAAAAAAACATGTACATAGTTCTGGCATGCACCTCCTGTATGGTGACCCTGTATTTATGACTCTGATCTGTGAAAGCGCAAAATACAAAGAGATGACTTACGTACTTCCACACAAAATGGAGTCTGAAAATTTGGACATATATGATTGACTGTTTTCGGGCACACTCCAACTTGTGCATGTGTGAATAGGTTACAGTCCATTTTTCTCCACAGCTGACCTTTCATTACATCCCACCCATGTCCCAACCCTTCTTTGTTACTCCTTCCCTGTTCCAACACGCAAAAACCAAAAGTAAACCATTCAAACGCAAACAGTAGTTCCTCACATAGTAGCAGCAGCAGGGGCAGGAGCAGCATGAGGATCCCGGAAGGCCCAAGCTCAAAGGTCTTGGTGGTGCGGGCGGAACAGGTTTTTGTCGTCTCTTTGCACTTGCACACAATCACGTCCATCACCTCCGCCTCGCCGCAAGATTTCCCCTGCTGGTCCCTGATGTCCAGACCCACCTTGTGCACGCCCGGCCACAGGTTGGCGTTGTCCCTCAGAATAACCGTAGTTGCTGGACAATCAAAAACAGTTCATGAGAGCTCTAAAGGTGACCTGAGCGACTGAAGAGACCTCTAGATGGACAATGTGACCCCGTTATAGCTCAATGAAACCCAAAATTGTCATCCAAATATGAGCCATAAAGCCTAGCGTACATCGGACTGGCAAGTGATTATATCCGTCGCATATGAGTTGCTGCCCCGCACACATCGACAATCTGACAAAAACGGGCAATTCCTAGTAGCAGACCAGTCTCGGGAATAACAGCGCGTACATCGACAGCAACTGGCCTCAACCACAGTGTGTTTTCTGACATAAACTGTGGAGGGCGCGCAATACGCGCAATACACACACGTTGTCGGAGCGGCGCATGGAGCGCGCACATCGGGTCATATCTCCGAAACTGAGGACAACTAGTTGCCGAAAAGTAGAACACGGGCAACTGACTGAAACTGGAGACCGACTGATCATCTCCAGTTGTAAGAGCGCGCACATCAACCGATTTCGGCAACTGATCATCTCCATCATCTCCTCTCATTTGCCAAAAGCCGCCTTGCAACTAGTTGTTTCCAGTTTCTCTGTCGATGTACGCTAGGCTTAAGGATTGGCCATTCAAATGCCTTCATCCGTAGGGCCTTAGCAACCATGTTAGCAACACGTTAGCAACAACTAGTAAAGGACTTTTTTAATTAACCAGTGACCTACACAATATTCCTACTCATGGCTTTCTTCTGGTCACCTGTATTACACTTTTCCCATTCAAAAGATAGAATATTGGAACATGACAATGAAAAAAGTTATGAGCGATTCTATATGATAAAACCATAGTATTTCAGTGTTTATTCTATAACTATTGCGTAAATGAGACTAGATTTGGCCTTTTTTGCTTTGTGTTAGCTATGGCCACTAACCATACCATATCTGCTTCTGATGCCCAAAATGAAAGTAACATTTAAAAATACAAAAAAAGAGGAGCAACTCTATGCAGGATTGTAATCTTGATATGATTTGGTTGAATTAGTAGTTTGACCTGACATAGACAGTAAAATGCATGATTTTTTTTTTTTACTGATAAAAGATATATTATTAGAAGAGAATTAACATAAGATTAGAAATATTGCAACTACCGGTTTTTCATAAGGATTTTCTTCAACCATATTTCCACTCGAGTCCAATTTTGCGTTGTCTGCATTTTGTGTCAATGTAATTTTAGACACAGTATGATGCATGACTTTCTCAGCAGGCCCAGAAATGCTTTCCCTATGACAGATCTCCAGCAGTCATAAAACCTGATGATAGTGTGTATTCATTGAGTCATAAGTTCCAGAAGTTCACAACCGCCCAGATAACAAGAGTAGATTGAAACTCAATGTTATCAAAGCTACTTATTTTTTTCATCTACCGACGGTTAGATTTACCATTGAGAGGTTCTACGGTCCATTTCCCAGAGCTTTTGGATTCAATCACAGTGAAGACAAACGGGGCAGAGTTTGGAAATTCATCTTTGTCCAAAGCCGTGGCGTAAACAGCAGAGTCCTCGAAACACAGGGTCTGGACGGTGGTGGTCAGTTCTGGACAGTGATCGTTGAAGTCCTCCACCTGAATTGCAATGGTCCCAGTGGCAGTTTTAGAAGGAGAATCTGAGGACGAAAGTTGACATTTCTATTGAGCTTTTGTTCAAATGTCCATTAACTTCATTTCAATTCAAATTAAATTTACAGTTATCATTTTGCCAAAAACAGATCAAAGACAGTAAATGCGATAATAACAAACACATAATGTAAGCCATAATCAAAAAATATAACAAAGGCTTAACATATAACACTTTGCAGGTCATCAGTTTGTAATGTATCATGTATAAATGTCACATTTTAAGTGGAATTACATTGATAAATTAGCATTTGAAATATTTTTTTCAGTTTCACCTATAGTATATAGACATAAAGACTATTTATACAATAGAAAACGGCTGCAGCCAAAGTTGCTACGGCTAAGACGACTTTGCCATATTGACACATATTAAAGTGAAATGTTTTTGTCAAAGAAGGCACCCTTTCCTGCACAAGCTATGACAACAATTCAACCCCTTTTTATATCCACCCCCACTCACCGTTTGTGATGCATATAATTTTAGAATAGTAAGTCCCGTTGATCAAAAACTTGGACTCCCGATCCGGCCACTTATTGAGCTTAATATCAGCAGTTTGCTCATCGATGATCAGCCAGTTGTCCTCGTCATAGATCTTTGCATACCTGAAACCATTGAAATATTCAATTATGGGAAGCTGGGCCCTGGGGAACTCCACAGTGCAAAGGTGCACAAGTGGAGGTGGAGTGCCCCAGCCTGACAGTGAGACCAAAACCAGTCCAGGGTGGTCCCCCTGACACCCACACAGTGTTCAAGACAATATTAAAGAGTTGCATGGTCCACAGTTGAATTTCCAGAATCTGCCAATAGAAGGTTGAGTATATAGACCCAAGCAAGAATAGCGACTGCATATTTCAGTAGCTAATGTCAATAAAAAACAAAACAAACATGTCTTTCTGGTACTTACCGAACATTTGTGGCGGTCAGCCCTGTGTCCGTGTCTATAGCGGCGTATCTACTGATGATAGAGTGGAGCGTGACGGAGGAGTGGTCTTCGGAGATGGTCACCACTTTGACGCTGGGCTGGAAGCGAGGACCTTCTTTCTGGTTGATCACGTTGATTTTGATGGGGTAACTTTTGCCTCCTCCCCCTCCGCCACCTCCTCCAAAGCTTCCGAAATTGTACTCGGCTTTGTTTCGCACGGACACTTCCAGATTCACCACTTTGAGCTCCTCGTAGTCAAGCGCCTGGAATTCAGGTTACAATGGTTTATGATTGTTATATTACTAGGGTGTTGATGCAAGATGTCAATTCAGATTAAAGCTGGGGTACCTAACTTTCTTTTTTCATAACAATACGCTTTCTTAGGTGCAACAGAAATGTCAAAGTAACATGTTGAGAACTAGTCAGACCACGCTCTATTTTCCACGATTGTAAGAACAATACAAATACATGTGAAAACTGCAGTGATAATCAAACTATTATGAAAACAAGGAACTAGTTGCGATTGAGTTAGTAATCTTTTAGTAATCTTTTTTTATATACCACCTTTTCACTGCAGATCTGAGTCTCAAAGCGGTTTACAATTGTTAATTATGGGCACTTGTCTCTCACTCCACACAGAGATGGGAGCGCGGTCGCCAGTACAGGAGGCGCATGCCAGAACTATTGGACATATTTTTAGTGGTAGGGGAAACCGGAGGACCCGGAGGAAACCTACACAGACACGGGGAGAACATGCAAACTCCACTCAGAAAGGCCCTGGTCCGACCGGGATTTGAACCCAGGACCTTCTTGCTGAGAGGCGAGAGTGCTATCCACTCAGCCACCGTGCCGCCCCGCGAGTTAATCACACAGATCCATTTTTGTGGTAAAAAAAATGGGTACCTAAACTTTTATTTGCCTTTTTGTGGTAAATATAGTGATTCTTCTTGAAAATGTATACAATAACCTCAAATAAAGATGAATACTTCTTAATCACAATGACAAAAAAACATCACAATTATACATGGTTTAATGATTCCTGGTTTTATAAGACACGTACAAACCAAATTTTGGCACTCTGCCATTTTTTCCATGGTCCTCAAAGCCTCGGGGCTATGTTGCCACAAAGACAGGTATGATTTAATGAACTCTTACTAAACTGTTTCAAAATATTTATCTTGTTTTGTGTTCTTTTTTTTTTTCCGCCGCCCCACCCCCTTAAACCGCACAAGTGGCCTCAGGTGAACTCGTTTGGGCACTCCTGGTTTGTGCCGATGCTCTCATTTCAAAAGTATCATGAAAACACACTTTCTCACTCCAAAATGAATGCAATTTTCATTTTCCCTCAAACAGATACACAAATCCGTCTTTAGAATTATTTTGGCATCGTAAGTGAGTAAGTAATCTTTATTTATATAATACTTTTCACAGACCGGAGTCACAAAGCGGTTTACAATTGATATTTTTGGGCATTTGTCTCTCACTCCACACAGAGATAGGAGCAGGGACACCAGTAAAGGAGGCGCATGCCAGACCTATTGTACATGTTTTTAGTGGTAGGGGGAACCGGATTACCTGGAGGAAACCTACGCAGACACAGAGTGAACATGCAAACTTCGAACCCAGGACCTTCTTGCTGAGAAGCGAGAGTGCTATCCTCTCAGCCACCATGCCTCCCAATTGTAAAAAGACCTAAATAAACTAATGACATTTCTTGTACAATTATTAGAATAACTGTCATTCATTTTCAATGCTTACCTTTTGTATCATGATGACTCCTTCATTTGTTTTCGAATCAGTCGTAATAGTGAAATATCCAGCCTGGTTCCCATCTGTTATTTCATAAACAGCCATCCAGTTTTCTGTGAACTCCAAGTCATAATCTATCGCTTTGATTCTTAGCACTTCCACGTTCATGGTATTTTCCTCCACACTTGCTTCATACTAGAAGAGAAATCCCAGCTATAAACACCATAATACATATTTAAACTAATTTTTTCCATTGTCACTTACAAATTCTTTTTCCAGGGTCGGTATATTATCGTTTATGTCCAGAATTTTAATCTCTATCGTCCCCATTCCCACATTTCCCCCAGCCTGGCCGTTCAAATCGGCAGCTCGTATCGTGAGCCTGTAGGTGTCTTTAGTCTAAAACAGATAAGCATATACATTAGACAACAATACACAAGGGAGATATGCTAAATAAAAGTAATGTCAATAATGTTTTTGCTGATTTACAAAGCAATTAAGGGGTTAAGGAAGTCAGCTCACGTCAAGTACACATTTCACTGTCATTGGTTGAATGCACCTGTCACTCACTCAGACCCTCACACAATGGAGCAGAGAAGCCCCGCCCATTGGCAGTCTGCTCTTCTGACAGATGCATAATTACTATTCAATTTTTGAGTTTCGAGTAAACATTTTTAGTTCAAAGGCACAGCAAAGTCTAAACTGCCTATGGATAACTACAATGCACATACATTAGTTTTTATAAATCTCCCATATCTATACACACTCGGTTATAGCTAATTAGCCACAAGCAAGCTTTAAAACGAAACTTTGATTTAAAACAAATATTATTATGTAAACATGTGCAAAAGCTCCCTGTCTCTGGCGGCCAGGACTTCCCTGAAAAAAAAAAAAACATTGAAATCTCGGTGGGACTTTCCTGATTAAATAAAGGTTAATGAATAGTTAAATTGATTAATCGGGCTCCTTACGGGTAGAATCTATAAGAATAGTTTAACTGGAACCAAGAGCTGGACAGCATTCTTTCCTTATTCAAGACTAAATAAATCTGAAATATTGGGATTGAATAATAAAAAGAATAAAAGAAATAAAATCTATGAGAAAGTGTCTTCTTCAAATCCTCTCAAAAGAAGACAGTGCAGTGTGTGGGTAATACCGCAACATACAAACCTCTCTGTCCAGTGTGTTCCGGAGCACTGTCACTTCTCCGGTCCTTGCGTTTATGCCAAACATTCCCCCAGAATTACTCTCCTGCAAAATGCTGTAAAACATCTGAGAGTGCAGCGTGTTGGCTTGGTCAGCGTCTGTGGCGATCACCCTCATCACAACTGTGCCTGGAAAACACACAACAAAAAATCTATCAAGAACAATACGTTTACAAACAGAAATATGTGTCGAAGTTGTAGCAAAATTGTAAATATACATATAGTGACTGCATTAAAGCAATTCATATATACTTTAGACAGAAAATTAAAATTGTTTTTGTTTTGTGTGCCTGATTTTTGATACTACGGTATATATTTTCAGCGACAGACCGATCCACCCTCGCCGTGCAAAAAAGAGGTTCTGCATGTCTTCCCTTCCTGCTGCTGTCAGACTGTACAACGAACAATGAGGACTAACAAACACTGCTGACTTGACCTCACATGTTGTGCATCTGTGCAATAATTTTAAACAATGTCAGAAACTGTAGAGAATTATACCTGCTCAACTAATTAGGCAAAAGTTAAGATTTTTTTTATTTATTTATTTTTGTATAGAGCTATAGTTCATTCCTACTGTTCTGTAACTGCTGATGCAATACTGAAATTTCCCCACTGTAGGACGAATAAAGGATCTCTTAATCTAAATATATACAGATTTTTTCTCATGACCGTTCAATTTTAAGAGTAATTATTTAGCCGCGGTTAATTTATACATATTCCATTATACATATCATTTTTTTAACACTCAATCTCACCGACTGTACTTAATTCCTTCACTGATCCGGTCTGTAGCTGGATCACGGGGGCACAATCGTTCTCATCCAAAACCGTGATCGGAAGTGGGATGTCAGTCTCCGCACGCGATCCATTGATAAACGTGGCCACACCTTTCAGCTGCGAATACATACAGTATGCTTTAAACGTCTGCTGCGTTTACGTATCTTATTCATTGTTTGTGGCTTACTTGATAGGAGGAAATTTTCTCCCTATCCAAAATGGCGTAGATTTTCACATATCCGGTCTGCGAGTTGATGCCGAAAATGTTAAATGGGGGCTCGTCCACACCGGGGCCATGTAGGGAATAGATGACTTTTGTAAAATTTTCTTTGTCGGAGCGAATCTGTGAGAGAAAAAAAACAGAAAGGTGTTGTCAGACGATGACAGAGATGATCTATCTGTGGTTTCAGAAAAGTGACGGACAGCTCATACTTTCAACAGGTGTACACACAGATGCTACTGTATATTACTCATTCTTAAAACATCGTGATTCACTATTGTCACTTTTAAACCACTTTCTAATTATTAAAGTTACAGCTTTAGCCGTCTGTAGATAAAATATTCCTAACAAGGGATCAGGTCTGCGTTGTAAGCCATTTATGTATACTCTAGTAGTGGAGGAGTACAGTACAAATGTATAGTATATATAGTATAGTAAAAGAATAGCACAATTGAAATTAAAGTGAACAGTTCTGTCAAATTTGAACACAACATTTAAAAAGACAATTTAGGCATTCAGAATGATTTTACATTTATTCTAAATAGAACAATGATGACAACTAAGAGATACATGAAAAGTAATGGATGTGGTTGATATTAGGCTGTTACAGTAAAGACCTAGGTTTAGAATATATTTATTTTTAAAGAAACATGGGTAAGAATGGAGAAAATCATTGCGTAGAAGTCATTTTATTTCTGCTGTATTTTGCTCATATTTTGTCTATTAACTAAATACCAATATCAATGTATTTTAAGATACAGTTTATGAATAGAATGAATAGCAATAAAATCGACAATATTTTTACGCATGACAATATTTTTTTAATGTATTTTTTTTCACCACTTTTTTCAACATGACAATACAAAAGGTACATACTCTGGCAATGTATTCCAGTCCCCTGTAGTCATGGTTCTCGTAGAGTTTCCTGGGAGCAATGACCCACTCCGCATCAGCAGGAAAAAACTAGGGAGAAAAAGTCATATTTTAGTATTCGCACGCGCGTAATGGTCAGTTTAACATGTCTTCAATGCGTTATGACAACAAAATCACTATGTATGTGCCTAATCCAAGTTTATAGGCCTGGTATTAAACTCTAACCAGCGACCCCACCTGCCAAAAACACGATTCCCGTTAATCTCTTTGAATAAACTCAATGCGTAAAAGTGGCGCTTACCGTTAGAAGCAGGAACAAAAACCTAAATTTTGGACACGTTTCCATTGGCGTTTTTTTCTGGTGGATGGATTGGTGTGGTGCGAAATGGAGTCCTCTCTGTCTATTGTTGCTTTGGTACGGACTTTGACCCTCTCCCGGAGCGAAAAAGAAGTTTACAGCGCAACGTAGGCGGGTCCTCTCTCCCCGTTCCTCTCTCCACAGACTGACTCGCCTTTCCTGATAACGGAGGCAAAGAGAGGTGGGGGTAAATCCAGCCCGCGACACTGCATAGCTTAGCTGTCATGTTTGTTGTCTAAATAAGTGCGGTGTTTCAAAGCCTGTGAGAAAATATAGGTAGATTGGCCCAAGAACGCACACTACATGCATGCGCTTGTTGGGATATATGAGAGTAGAGTGGATCAAGGCGTAATTGGATAAAGATGTGGGTTCATAAACTAGGTCAGACTGACTTCAAACTTTATTTTCTCTTGTATCATGTATAATGTATTTCTTCCATCTCATATCAGGGTAATATTCTGCTTTATCAGCGCGTTTCTCTTCTCTATGTGAAAAGTTTTTGGTGGCTGTGAAATTCCTGCGCAGTGCATCCCGGTTCCTAGGTGAACCACTCGTAAATTCAACAAGTGTGCAGCCATAGAAGCCCATGTCTGTTTTACAAGTTGAAAAAAAAAAAGCTGAACATTTTCTTAGCAGCACACCTTGGGAAAAATGTATAGATTGTGTAACCTGGATACAATCTCTATAGGAGTGGCCCTTATCTTTTTAAATGAACTATTGCCCAGTGCATAATGCATTGTGTGAAAAACATTGTGCCTTTTATTGATCTCATGCCAATTTTCTTTGTGCATTATGCATTTGTGAGCGTGGATTTGTGTGTAAAACATACAAACAAGTGAGATGATTTTTGTATGTGCTGCTCCTTCTACATGGAAAGTATTACATTAACTGAACTTATTTCATTGAAGCCTTTAAGTCAGAATTGAGAGCACTTGAGAGACAGACATCCTCATTGAAATATAACTGTTTTTATAACCTGTAATTGTATGTAACTGTGTGTAACTTTTACCACATCTTGTCCATGACTTCTCTCAATGGACAAGATGTAAATAATAATAACAAAAAATGCATGTACTATTTTTAGTGCATGACCAAATGACCAATCTTGCTAGCAGTCTGCACGTTGATACAGAGAGAACAGGAGTGAAAACGGGGCGGTCGGTGTAAGGACTTTTCGGTTGTTTGCGGTGATGATGATGGATAGTCAGGTGTGAATGGTCACTGGGTTGTAAAATGCAGCCGGGCGAGTCGTGCAGAGCTGTGAGCCTGGGTGTGTCCCTGACTGAGTGTGTGTCCACTGAGCAGTTTCTGTCAACAGCAAGTGTAGAGAAGCAGATATGCACCTACACTGGCTCCACACTAAAACTGGTGCAAAGGTTATTACCACAAAGTCTGCCTAGATATAGACTGTGATTAAGATCTGCACAATGAAAACATGCATGCAGACTACTACTGGACTCTGAACGGGGCATTTTGATTTGGTCAATTTTTTCCAGATTTGTTCCTTTCCCATGCAGCAGGGTCTAAATACAGTGATGATCCAAGATATTTAAGGACATTCATGGACATTTGATAACATTCATGGTCATCCCACTCCCTACTGTATATAAACTAATAGCTTGTGTGTGTTTGTTAACATTGCCTTGAGTTTGAACCAGTGGGTGCAGGTCCCGGCTCAAAAATGTCCAAAATGACGTGTGCTGACATGCTTGCAATACCACCCCAGGCCAACGGCGGTGGACCCGGAATAAGAATTTTTCAATGCTATTGTATGTATCTTCTTACCTCTCAAAAACGTCTTTACAGGATGGTCCAAAAGTCGGCTCTTGGCCCATAGCTCGTTCCACATGTGTGTCAATGCTGAGGGGAGTGCATTTTTTTTTTTGGACCAGTCTAGTTTAGTCGCTGCAAAATTTTGAAATTTAGCGGCCATTTTGAAACTACCCATAGACTGCAGAAATGGTGGCAAATTAGTTTGAATGACGGAAATATTGAGTACTACGTCTGTTAGTATTTACAGTCTATGGTTTGAATATGGGGCGACAGTTGCTCAGTTGGTAGAGCATTGGCCTTTGAGCCTGAAGGTCGTGGGTTCGAGCCCACCGTAAGACCCACTTCACGACTTCCACTGATGACTGCTGTTGTTGTGTCCTTGGGCAAGACACTTAACCCTACTATGCCTGAATAGGAAATCTGTTGCAAGAATGCTGTTCATTGATTATAGCTCTGCTTTTAATTGTCTTGTCCCAGGTATACTGATTGAAAAGCTCATGTCTCTCGGTTTAAGTGTTGCCATGTGTAAATGGATCTATAGCTTTTTAACAGACAGATCTCAGAGAGTGAAAATCAATGACTGTTTTTCAGATGTTGTTTCTGTGAGCACTGGATCTCCTCAGGGATGTATTTTGAGTCCTTTACTTTTTACACTGTACACTCATGATTGTGTGTCTTCCTCAGACTCTAACCTGATCATCAAATATGCTGATGACACCACCATCATCGGTCTCATCAGTAATAACGATGAATCGTCTTATAGAGCCGAGATCCAAAACGTGGTTCAGTGGAGTAAGGCTAACAACCTCCAGCTGAACGCATCCAAAACATGTGAACTGGTCTTTGATTTCAGTCGCAATAGTTCTCATTTGCCTGTCGCAATCGATAACTCCCAAGTGCAGATTGTAGAGGAGTGTAAGTTTCTGGGTCTAACTCTGTCTAATGACCTGAAATGGGTTAAAAACACTGACCGGGTCGTAAAGAAAGCTCGTCAGCGTCTCTACTTTCTGCGGAAACTTAGAGAATTTATCACTAACTCTAAGATTCTGCTTAACTTTTATCGCTGCACCACTGAGAGTTTACTTGTTGGTTCTGTGTCTGTGTGGTTCGGTAACATCACAGATAAAGAAAAGAGAGCTTTAAACAAGGTGCTCCGCTCTGCTAAGAGGACTGTAGGCTGTGAACTTCCTGTCCTGGAGGCTCTTTATCAATCCAGACTTTTTAACAGTGCCCTGAGAATTATCAATGACTCTTCTGGCCACCCAGGAAAAGCCTTGTTCCAGCTTCTTCCCTCTGGCAGAAGATACTGTTCTCTGAGATGCAGGACATCTCGTTATGCTAATAGTTTTTTTCCACGAGCTGTTAACAGTTTGAATAGAGCACTTTAATGTTTTTGCACTCGTATAGATCTGTTTTAAGTTGGTCAACTTCACGGTGACATTTGTTTACTGTTTTTAAAATTTGTTTTATTTTTGTCTTTTAATGTTGTTTTGTGTCTGTACTTGTCCTGTGCACACTGGGAACTTTTACAAATGTATTCCAATGTAGTGTTACTGCAAATGGCGAAATAAATGAATCTGAATCTGAATCTGAAGCCCCCAATGAAAGATCTCAGCTTCTGGACTCACCACCTGCAGGAGGATCAGTGAGGGGCTGGTGCTCTGTGTACTGGGTGGCATCTCTGGCCACCCCCCTGACCCAGAAATGGATTAAGGGGAAGAAGATGGATGGATGGATGGTTTGAATAAGTTTTTGAATAATTGAATAATGAAAAATGAGTAAAAAATTGCTCAAATTTGGCAACATGTGTCTTAATTTTGAGCACATTCTGACTACCTTAAAACAAGATTTGCCAGTGGAACAAGCAAAATGATCTTATTTAAAAAAGATACAAGATCTAACTTGATTCAAGCAATTATTACCTCATATTTTACCATTTTTTGAATAGCGAGAATAGCTTCAATCACTGAAATACGCATTGATTTTATAGTAGTTCTAAATCGTGGCATAGACACGTACATTACATTAGTTCCATTACATTTAACGCACAAGGAACAAAGAAGGCATAATAAAATGTACAGTAGTTATCTATCTAACCACAGATATCTAACCACAACGTTTCTATGAAATTCCTGCCATAACATGCAACAGTAAGAGACACCGTGTAGCATGCCGTGACCTCATGCAAACCTTTTAAGTATTACACTCCTATTTATGTTGATCTCGCTCCAAGTTTCACAAAAGCCCAGTGATGCATGCAAGCATACTCCGGATCAACAACAAACCAACCAGGGAGACAAGAACTTATCAGACCATGGCACAGTTTAAGGGGGCTTTAATCCTGGGTTATATATTTAGATTAGACTTGATTCTACGTGTCTGTCTATCTCTTTCTAATGGTCTCCTGAGTTTTGATTTGTGGAATAAATAACACATCTATCAATCTAATATACAGCATGTAGTTTCCTCCCTTTGCCAACGATTAGAACGTTTTTTTCCCCTCCCTCCACACCCTATGGCTTCAGTCCAGCGCAGACATGGGCACGTCATGGGAGCGTTGGCGTGAGCCGGGAGCGCAGACATTTGCCGAAAGTTATATAAGTAATCTTAATATCAGTACGTCATGTTTCATTCAGACTTGAGTGAATCATGTCAACCGTCCTGATAAAAACACGTCAGAATACCCGTGACTGTGTAATTAGCATGTGATTGAATGAGGTCTGCATCAGAATCTGTTTTTTTTTTTTTTTTATGCCTCCACCTCGAGGACGTTCTGTTTGCATGTTCTCCCCATGTCTGTGTAGGTTTCCTCCAGGTTCTCCGGTTTCCCCTTCCACTAAAAACATGTACAATAGGTATGAATTTGAAGTGACCGGGGGCTTTGATGCTCCAGTGTGTTCGGTGTCTCACTTCCATCGTCACTGTGTTTGTAGAGAATGGAAGAAAAAAATCTGAATTCTGAACTTTGTAAAGCAGTTTGGGTGACCTTGGTCTGTAAAATGCGCTATATAACTACTTACTTACTTAAACTGAATTATAAAAAACTTACAGTGTTCTAAACTATTTCTGTAGAAAGCGTGATAAGCCATTGTGTCATGTTGATTTCTACATGAAACCATCACTTAACTATTTACAAAGATTTTAGTTGCTCAAGAACCATCCCGTTGCATGACACACTTTGCAAAGAATATACTTTATTATTTATTATTTACGTATTTATTTATTATTTACGTATTTATTTATTTATTTATTATTTACGTATTTATTTATTATTTATGTATTAGGCACTTGTTGCAACTGTTCTTTGATATTGGTCGTCCGATTTTTGAATCAATTTTCTACTTTTTTATGTGTAATTGAAGAGATATCGGACCACAATGATACGTCTTTGCATCTCAATAACCACTGTCAACCAACATATTTTACTAATTAATTTGTTTATTACTCTTTTTTTCTCGCCACCATGTGAGATTGATGCTACCACTGGTAAAGGGATCCATCATTTCTGACATTTTAACTTGTTTCTTTGGACTTCTTTGTTATAGACTCGACATCTCTCGAGTAATATTGCTTGTAACACTTGTGTTTACAGTTACAAGTTTAAAATAGATCTTTACATTCATTATTGTTCATTTTTCTGTTATTAAAAGGACAGCATGTGTTATTTTCATGTAAAATGATATCTATATTTTTTATATGTGTCCCCAGATAACAAGTCACATACGATAGTTGACCTTTTCAGAGCAACTATTTACATTTGAGTTATTCATAATCAAAATTACAATGGACATAGCCAAAACAATTTTCAAGCAGATTATCCAATCAGAGAGCTTATTGTGTTTGCCAATTTTTTATGTGAGATTTGGTCGGTTTTGTCTCAATCACACCCAAAGAAAACAACACCACATATGTGTTTGAATTAAAGCAGATAGAAAAATAAGTCGACAAATATAATATACTGAGTTCGCACTGTTTCTAGGTAAGCCCCAGCAGGTGGTTTGCATCAGTTATCAGTGCCTCTGGATACTCCGGTTTATCTCCCACCATTAAAAACATGTAGTGCAGAGTGAATAAATTAGTATTTGTTTGTGAGGGCGACTATGTGGCAACGGATCCAAATCAGCTCAGGGCAGCAAACCGGAGACATGTGTTCATTAATTAACATGCACTGTACAAATCAAATGAATAAATACATACCTGTACACATAGGAGCTATGTGTGTCACAGGCAGAAAGTTACATGTATTACTCTAAACTAATTATACTGGGAGCAGACCCCTCCCTCAATGCGTGCTCCCCGAGGTTTCTTTGTTTATTATTTATTTATTTATTTATAGGGACAATGCACATTAATGAACATCAGTATAAAACAAATGTAATAATGCCGGATTCTCACTTTTCTACGCCGATGCAGAAGGGTGAAAGGACAGTGGTGATGATTCAGGACACTCTACATTCAACGACATTTATGAGCATTTGCCATCTGCCTCTTATGGACTAATGTCTCTATGTGTTTTTGAATCATTGTATTTCTTGTGTTTGAACGGTTTGATTCTCTGATCCGTGTTGGCGAATTCAACAGTTTTGTAAAGTCTTCCGAGATAACTACTGTTGTGATTAAGGGCTACACAAGAATACATACTGTAGAATTGAATTGAATGTATGTGAGAAAATTGCTATTTACCCAAAATCATGCAGTCCTATTTTTGTTGTCAGTTCTTTCTTCCCCAGTTCAGGGCAAGAGTATAGTGCAAGAGTTTGTGGAGGAGTCTAACCCTGCAGAGAGCATGGTTTGGTGCAGCACATTCCTGCGGTGTGAGAGATAGGACACGTCTTCTGTCATGAGCCTCTCTAAATCTGTTTGAGAGACAAGAAGATGGAAGAGATAGGCTGTCGCTCATTTAAAACATACGTGCCGAAGGATTTCACACACTGGATTTTCTCGCAAAACAAGCAGAAAGGGGAAAAAAAACAGGTGGTGCTGCAAATGCAAAAAGGTATAAGGACAAATTGCACTGTTCAAAAAGGTTGATTGATTTACTCATTGCTAGTTTGAGCAATTGGACTTTGAAAAACATATTTTATGATAAACTGCCCAAAAAGGTGCTAAAACAAGTCAGAGGTATTTTTTAAGAGTGTTAGGAATATTAAATGCAGGAAACCATTGCTACATGAAGTTTGAACCGTGTAGACTATTTATGCACTTAAAGTTTAATAAAGGAATAGATAATGTTGAATTTGTAAAGATTTAAAACGGTTTTAATATTTTTAATGATTGATGAATGCACAATCAGTGGGTTCGATCCCACCGTGACCCATGTCATCTGCTCCCACTGATGACTGCTGTCGTTGTGTCCCTGGGCAAGACACTCAACCCCACTTTGCCTGAAGTCCCCGCTGAAAGATCAAGGCCGTATCTGTGATGAAGGAACAGCCATCTTCCTGTGGACCCACCACCTGCAGAAGGATCAGCGAGGGACTAATGTGAATTCCTGACCCAGAAATGGACAATAAAGGGATGAAAATGAATGAATGAATGAATGCACAATAGAACTAGCAGAAACACGGGCCACATAAACAAAAAATATATGATAAAAACCCAATGCAGAACTTATTAGCCAATATATGAGCAAAATCTATGTTATTTTTTCATTGTGGTTCTTTTTAATGCGCAACATTTAAAAACACACGTACTCTAATTACAAGCAGTAACAATCTCTAAAAGATAATTCTTGAAAATTGACCTCAATCTTCCTTGATAAATATAAAGTAGGTTAGCTGGTGTCTATATGACTCAGGAGTGACCAAATTCAACAATTCCCGATTCACAGCTGAGGTAAATAACACACACTGAAAGATCTAAGCTCCTGTGGACTCACCACCTGCAGGAGGATCAGTGAGGGGCTGGTGCTAAGTGTACTGGGTGCAGCTCTGACTGCCACCGCCCCCCCCCCCCCCCCGACCCAGAAATGGATTAAGGGGAAGAAAATGGATGGATGGATGGATGGATGGTAAATAACACAAATGAGAAATAGGGATCTTTAATTAATAAAGCAAAAAGCTCCAGACCAAACCTGTCTAACATATGTTTTACATTGTCCGAGCTGTTTGACTGAGTACGGGTGGTGCTTTCTATTTGAATGAATGAATGAAGTTTATTTCGGTCACTTGTACAATTTTACACATTGTTACAGGACAGTAAATTATACAGCAGAAAGAAAAACCGAAAAAGAGTGGGCTGAAGCTAATGCTCATTTTGCCTACCCTTTCTATTTATTTATTATTATTTTTTACAATTGTCGTATAAGTGAGTGAATACAATAGTAGTATATATAGCAATATTTCACTGAAAAAGTAAATCTGTAGATGTGAGGCTAAGCTTATGCATTGTCAGAGTAGAAGCCTGTCTCACATTATCAGGAAGACAGATTTTAGCTGCATTCATCTGACTTAGTCCTGACTCTTGGCACTATCAGGAGGCCAGTCCCTGTGCTCCTCAGAGTCCGAGTTGGCTCATATAACATGTCACAGATGTACTTTAGTGAGAGGCCATGATGAGACTGGTTTAAAGTCTATTCTCTGATCCACAAGAAGCCAGTGCAGAGACTTGAGAACTGGCTCTCATTATATTCTCCTCCAAAACGCTTTAAAACTAGTAGCCCTGCCCCTGTGCCATTTTTGTCTCGAGAAAGCAGCTCTAAGTGAAAAAGGTTGTTGACCCCTGCACCAACCCACACGCAGACACAGCAGTGCAAAAGTGCGCCTCCTGCTGTTGGGAAACGCGCACCGCACCGCACCCCCACCACCACCATTACGCAGGACGCTCCGGTAGAGACGCAGTGCCACGGGACATATATCCTGTGTCGGGACGGGACCTAGTAGCTCTCATTGGGACGTATACTCTCTGGGTGGGGCAAGAAGCAGGTGCTCATTCACTGCCTGCTCTGACAGATCTCATATTTGTCTTGTCTCACCTTGTCTACAACGCGGAGAACGAGTGGATCTATTTTCTTCCCCGTGCGTAAAGAGAAAAACAAAGTCGACCAACTCGCCTCTGTCTCTCAGTCTGCGCTTTGGGACCAGGGGCGCTCTTTAGAACCAGAACGGACTCCAAAAAAAAAAACCAAAAAAGTATAGCGTCTGAAATGGCGAAAGCTGTGTTTTTCTTGCATTTTTTTCTACTTATGGTGAGTACAATGGATATACCGCGTCTGTTGTAAGGCGTGAACGCGTCTATATAGTTGAAATTACCTCACTTTTCCCTTCTTTTTAAGGTTTTTTCCCATGTTAAAGCATGTTATATAGCACCGTCTTTGGACTTAAATCTTCCCTATAGAATACCCGCAGGCTCCACTGTAACAACAGGTATATATCATTCACTACTAACCTCATCCGCACTTCGATGAGCAATATTCAACCGCAAATTAACCTATTTTTACTGGGGATTTATTTCCAGTTGAAGTGGCAGACTGCGACATCCAATCTCTCCAACTCAGTTCAAGTGATCCAGATTTCATAATTAAAGAGAATGGGGCTTTAGTGACTATTACTACTGTCTATGTGAAAGCCACGGGGAGGACATTTTCTGTGGTGGCTCAGGACGGCACCGGGTCCAGAAGTGAGATGGAAATCTGCCTCCATCAGGAAATCCAACAGAATGTAAGATTATTTTTATGAATTATGTTTATTATATGTTTGGCCTTTACAGTCATCAGCAAGGAGAATTACTTATACCAATACATAGAACAATTTCATATCCATAAACTAACTATTTTACAGACCTACTTGCTCCTGCAGACTTGTGTTTTAGTCTTTATAGTGAATGAAGAAGCTTTGTTATAATATTGTGGATTTTATAACTAATAGTAATGATAATAATAGGCTATGACAAAGTATTGAACATACTTTTGTGGACTGTTAATCAAAAAATATTGCAGGGCCGTTATTTTATTTGGGTTAAAGCTGGACTACGTAACTTTTTGTCTCATAAACATTACATTTTGACCGTCCCAACAGAAAGAGTTTTGTAAAAGGCAACATTATATGAACATATCGGGAAACTACATGTGTCTTTAGCTCTTAGGCTATCAGATAACATTCATACTTCATACAACCAGAACATGTCAACATTATTATACAAATAGTAGTTCTGCAGGTTTCAAATTATACCGATACATTTGAAAGAGTTGAAAATACCGACCTCTGCTCTGATTTGTAAGTTGCAGAGGACAACACATTTGGCTTAAATATTGTTTTTTTTTACTTTATTTTACCTTCAGTTACCTATCACCCCTGGTCATAATTCAGTTGTAAAGTGTGTGTGTGTGTGTGTCTATATGTGTAAGTGTGTGTGTGTCTATATGTGTGTGTTTGTGTGTTTTCTCACTGACCTGTTTGTGGGTTAACAGGAAAATCTGCTCCGGCGGAAGAAAAGGCGCTGGAGCCCTCCTCCTTTCAACATAAGAGAGAATGATAATGGACCGTTCCCAAAAGAAATTGAAAAGGTGAGGATGAGATTTTTTATTGGATTTCTCTGGTTTGATAAAGGTTAATGCTGGGTACCTACTTTGACCTATTTTAAGTTCATAAATTGCACATTTTGTTTGTTACAACAGAAATAATCCTGTAAAAATGGAAAGTTTTGTGAACAAGTCAAGTTTAATTGTTTGTAATCTTCTGTCTTAAAAAGTGACAGAAATCAAAACTTAAATACATGAGAAAACTACTGATAGAGTTAAACTGTTTTGAGAGCAGGAAAATATAGATGTATTTTATTGTAAAGCTCTTTTTGTTGTTTAAAATAAGAGGTGCATTATTTGTCTCACAGTCTGGGTTTGTCAGTGTTGCATCACTGGTTATAGGACTGAGGAGCACACAACAAAAGATATAGTAAATAAACAATAACTCTATACAAAAATAAAATCTCTAACTTTAGCATAATAAAGAAGAAAGAATTCAATCTCTAGCTTTCGCATCATAAGGAACCTGGTCAAGAAGCTCCAACTTTAGCATAATGGAGAAGGAAGTATAAAATGTCTAGCTTTACCATTAGCTTTAGCATTATAAGTAAGCTGGTCTAGATTCTCCAACTTTAGCATGATGAAGAAGCAAGTATAAAATTTACAGCTTTAGCCTTAGCTTTAGCATTAGCTTTAGCATTAGCTTTAGCATTAGCATTATATATATTATTATATTCTTTATTACTTCAGTGTACTTTTTAAAACCAATATTTCCACCTTTACAACTGGCTCCCTTTGAAATCTAATGCCCGAGATGGACGACCGTTACTTCAGAAACATTTTAACCATAATCTAAAGGATCATGATCACTGTGTTTTTTTGTTTTTTGTCCAGATCGTGTCGGATTCAGAAATCAAGTATCCCGTGTACTACACCCTGTCCGGCCCCGGCTTCAACGAGGCTCCTGTGGGAGTGTTCAGCTTTGATCGCAAGACAGGAATGTTGAGCATAAACAAAGCTGTGGACCGAGAAGAATACCCAATATTTGTTGTAAGTTTAAATTTGACTTTCTAATGTATAGTAACAATAATAACACTAGCTAATTGCTATTTCTGCTGCTAATACTGTTGTTTGTGATTGTGTACAGAGGGAAAGATGACAAGGCCTGTCATAATAACCGATTTTTATTGATGAATGATTATATTAATGATTAATGAAATATCAAGGCCCGATAAATGTGGTTTTATCCATCAGTTATTGAACAGTCGATATACTGTATTATCTTGACAGGCCTAATTCATTAATACTACTCCTTCGGCTATTCACACACTTGTATTGTGTGTATTTACTGATATAAATGTGTTTGATAAAGAATTACCAGAAATTCTCAAATGGTAGAAACGATGTGAAACATTATTTCACTATCAGGCAATTTTGTACAGAAAAAAAGTACATATTATAACTTTGCAGCCTATAAATTTTCACTATCACATTTATTTATCAATATTTGTTTTATGTATATCGTATAATGTGTAACATAATCATGATATGAAAATTGATAGAAAACAATAGGTGAATAAATATATATATATATATATATATATATATATATATATATATATATATATATATATATATATATATACTGTATATATACTTCGATTCGATTCTGTTTTTTCTTGTATAGCCCTAAATCATAATAATATTCACAAAACTGGAATTAAAACAACTGTTGAATTCGCCAACCCAGATCAGAGAATCAAACAGTTCACACACAGGAAATTCAATGATTAAAAAAAACACATTGTTCTATAAGAGGCAGATGACCAATGTCCATAAATGTTGTTGAATGTTGAGTGTCCTGGATCATCACCACTGTCCTTTTGTCCCTTCAAACTAACACACATCTGCAAAGTCAACATCATACTATTTTGTCATACTGGTGAGCATTCCCAGCTTTTGAATCGTAAACAACATCAGACTTTCTTAACCCTAGAAAATTAGAATTTTCCCGCAAAACACAAACCTTCCCATTCTTTGCTTTTATTGTGTTATTGCTTATCTGCTGTGTTCCAAAGTCCACAGGTAACCCATTCATTGTACTTAGAGCACGGGCGGCACGGTGGCTGAGTGGATAGCACTCTCACCTCTCAGCAAGAAGGTCCTCAGTTCGAATCCCGGTCCGACCAGGGCCTTTCTGAGTGGATTTTGCATGTTCTACCAGTGTCTGTGTAGGTTTCCCCTACCACTAAAAACATGTACAATAGGTCTGGCATGCGCCTCCTGTACCGCCGACCCCGCTCCCATCTCTGTGAGGAGTGAGAGGACAAATGCCCAAAAAATAACTGTAAACCGCTTTGTGACTCTGGTCTGTGAAAGGCGGTATATAAATAAACATAACTTACTTACTTACTAGCAGGGCTGGACTGGCCATCGGGCGTACCGGGCAATGCCCGAAGGGCCGATGCCCATATTTGGGCCGGTCTGTTTGCCTCATACAAAAAACATGTTTGTGAAAAGTGTAAATCCGTTGAGAACTGTGTGAGGGGGCGCGTGTGTCTGCGGGGCACCTGCTGCATGTACTCGAACGGGATTCCACCACCTCAGCGGCCGCAGTGTTCCCGCATCCAGCGGCTCTGAGCTGGACGCAGGAACCGCTCACCGGGAACCACTCACAACACGGTGAGCGCGTAGCCGCAACGTGACCATGTACCCAAGACCATAAACGCGCACAGGACCATGCATGTCTTTTCGTAATTTGTGCACCCAATAAATACACCGCTGCAGGAAAGTAAGCTAGTAAGTAAGTAAGCTTTTTATTTATATACCGCCTTTTCACTGCACATCAGAGTCTCAAAGCGGTTTACAATTGTTGGGTGGGGGTGCCAGTACAGGAGGCACATGCCATACCTATTGTACATATTTTTAGTGGTAGGGGAAACCGGAGCACCCGGAGGAAACCTACGCAGACACGGGGAGAACATGCAAACTCCACTCAGAAAGGCCCTGGTCCAACCGGGATTCGAACCCAGGACCTTCTTGCTGAGAGGCGAGAGTGCTATCCACTCAGCCACCGTGCCGCCCAGTCAGTCCGCGTCTCCCCTCTCCTCTAGATTAAAGCTCGGGTACCTACATTTTCCATTGCCTACATTTTCCATTGCATTAAAGGTTCATGTTTGAGCCCAAAAGTAAAATGTTGTGAACAGATTAAACAGATTTAGAGCCAGCAAATGGCTGACAATATGCATTTCAGAATTTTTTACCAATTCTCATCCCTGTAACAAACAATAGTATTGTCTGTGTCACCTCCCTCACTCTGAGACATGTTTATTACTCTGTTTAATGTAGACTATTGTACTTTATTTTATTGATGAAACTGCAGACATCCTGATCCTCTACAGTACTTGCTTCCACATACTGTATAAACCAGGGGTCAGCAACCTTTAGTGCCCCTAAAGTGGCTCCTGGAGCCTTTTCAAAAATGTCTGAAAATGGAGTGTGAGGGCTATATTTTATTTCTAGTTTCAATGTGGTTTCTGTAGGAGGAAAAACATTAACGTTTTTCAATGCTGCAAAAACTTGTATAAGTAATAAGACGGTGAAAGAAAAGGCCATTAAGGACATTCAGCTCCAGCAAACTTCAGCCTGTGACGTGATGGATATGAACAGACAGTGATGCAGGTGAACTCGGAGCCAAAAAGCAGATTTATTTACTCTATTTGTACAATTGCATGAAGGCAAAAAAATGGAAGTTAAAGTTAAAGCAGAGTTGTCACGTGGTGCGTCATTCTCTCCAGGACACGCTGCAATGAAAATACACATTTGATAATCATGAATGGTTTTTATGTGTTTAGCCTTTACTTTGTCATTTAGATATTAGTCTAATATGGCTAATATAGCTAATGTAGCTAAGGTAGCTAATGTAGCTAATACAGCTTCAGCCCCTGTTACCTTCATATAAGCCTTATACAACGCTGTTCTTTGTTGTTGTTGTCAAATATGGCTCCTTGAACCTTTTGAGTTGCCTGGGCCGCTAAAAAGGAAAAAATGCCCGGGCCGTTTTTTTGTCCCAGTCCAGCCCTGCTTACTAGCATGAGAGCTCTTTCTAAAGCCGCTTCTCCTCATGTGTGTGTGTTTTTCTTTCAGCTCACCACAAACGTGTACAATGAAAACACGGGCGTTCCCACTGACCTCCCGCTGGATATCAAAGTTCTGGTGGACGACGTGAACGACAACGCTCCGCAGTTCTCCTCGCCTCTTCGCTTCTCCGTCCCAGAGGAGAGCAAACCAGGTCTGATATATAGTAATTCTGAGACAATCTTTTTACATTTCTCTATTTCTATCTATCTATCAGTAAACACTTTCCAAAGGGCTGCACAGAGACACATTAACAACACAATTCACAAAAACACCAGGCTAAAAAAGAAAGCAAAAAAGAAAGTAGAATATAATAACAACTCAATACCTCAATAAAATCATTCAAAAAACTACTGTATTTGTGTTTGAATGAAAATATATGTTAGCATTAGCTAATTCTTATTCCGGGTCCACCCTCGTCGGCCCGGGGTGGTATTGTAATCATGTCAGCGCACGTCATTTTGGCCACTTTTGAGCCGGGACCCGCCCCCACTGCCTACATTGCAAAAAATGATACAATTTGAGGTGATAATGGCTTAAATCAAGTGGTTTTTAATTTTAATTTTAGTACATTCTGTTTTAAAACAATATTAGCCAATGAGATAAAGCCATTTTTTTTTTTTCATTTATTTATTTCAAGAACTGCTTTATTTTCTCATACCAATGGAGAAATTTCTTCTTGTTTTATTCCACTCAAAATGTCCTCAAATTAAGATACAATTTGCTTAATCTTTTGACTTATTTTTCAGAACTTTGTGTTGTGTAGATTGCACTCTGCCTGTTTGTACGTACATGCTAATGTTTGTGTTGCTGCTGCAGGGACTGTGGTCGGTAAAGTCAACGCCACAGACAGAGATCAGGAGCGGACGGACCACGTGGCGATCCGCTACAGCCTACTGACCGGCACTGACCTGTTCTCCATCGACCCGCTGACCGGAGTCATCACCACCGTCTCCACTGCACTGGACAGAGAGGTGAGCCAAGCATGAGCATGATGGCACATACTGGTTGCCTCGTTTCTGTCAATGTGCCCCATGGCAGCTGTGGCGCCGTGGAAAGAGCTCTGGTGTGCACACTGTCTGGTACACACTGTGGCAGTCTTGCACAGTTTTTCCAATGTGGTTTTACTGCAAATGGCAAATAAATTCTTGTATGTTGTATCTTGTAGTAGTAGTTTATCACCACTGTATATGAAGTGAAAGAATAATAACATGTGAAGCGTCTTTGAGTGTCCAAAAAAGTGATTATTATTATTATTAATATGAGGTTTTATCACTGTGAAAAACATATAAGAATAATATGATGTTTTATTTACTGTATATTGTACATTATTGCACACAGGACGGCAACTCGACACGCTTCACACAAGGACAGTGTAAATCATCAATTATTAACTGCTGGTAGTTCATTGAATTTATCTTCAGAATATCTTGAGGGTTTTTTATTGTCTTGAGATAAGGTTTGCAATGAAACAATCATAAAATGTCTTTGGATTAACTTGGATTAACTTGGATTAAAACAACAATGAGCATGAGAAAGAAATGCAGAAAAAATAATTTTAAAGGTGAATTTAAATAAGCTTTTGTTGTTGATAAATGATTGATTTGGTCGGTATTGTTGCCCCACCATGTCCCGGTTTTTGAAGTGCCCAGGTCTAAGCTAAAAATGTGGACTGGACCGAACCTTTTCTGTGGCTGGACCCTGACTCTGGAACCGTCCCAAGAGCACTTTAAGACTTAGTGGAAAACCTTTTTTCTTTGGCTTTTTGCACAAACTGGGCTAGTTTGTTAAGTCTAATTTCTCCTTTTATGTAACATTGTTATGAGTCTTAATGTTGTATCCCTTGTTGCACTTTGGGTTCTTGTAGTTGTAAATCTGCAAAACAAACCACTGACTTTGATCAGTGGTACTTCTATTAGTAACACATTAGTCAAATCGCGTTTTTCCATTGGCTCAAAGTTACTATTGATTTCCCGCCAATACACTTCTCTGCTGTTTCTGATGCTGTTTTTATTGTCATTCTTTAGATTCAACCCAAGCACATGGTGACAGTTCAAATCAAAGACATGAAAGGAGCTAGTAACGGCTTGTCCTCCACGGGAACCGCCACCATAATGCTGTCGGACATCAACGACAACCCCCCGACCTTCAAGCAGCCGTCTGTGAGTACCACTGCAAAACACAAACCTATATCCTAATTAAAAAAAAACATTATTGTTATTCACCACTACTATCTCGTTTAGTTCACAGCAACTGTCCCGGAAAACGAAATAGACAAACTCATCCTGCGCATCCCGGTCGATGACAGAGACTTGGTCAACACCGATAACTGGTTCTCCAAATTCGTCATCACCAAAGGGAACGAAAACGGAAACTTCAGAGTGGATACTGACCCGAAAACGAACGAAGGACTTCTGTATGTTACTAAGGTACTGTAACCCATCCAGTGCAGAAAAAAACAAGCTTCACACACATGTATTTACTATCATCTCCACTCAAACGATGGAATATTATTGCTCTATTGCTTTTTTATTAATTTTACTTTACTTTACTTTACTTTACTTTACTTTACTTTACTTTACTTTACTTTACTTTACTTTACTTTACTTTACTTTACTTTACTTTACTTTACTTTACTTTATTTTATTTTATTATGTATTTATTGATAAATATATTTATATTTGTATTTATTTATTTATTTAGGCAAACACAGGTTGCTATTATCATAAAAAACATACTCATAACAAAATACAATTAAATAAAAAATAGCTTGTAACCATTATTATTGATTTTTTTTTCGGTTTCAAAAATGTTGCTACTCAAAATGCAATTGATTAGCTTTTGGATTTATGACCCTGCAAAAGTATACAACGTCTATACTTTCTCTACAAATTTACTGACAGACACATTTGCAGAGACAGGGAAAATCACTTTTTATCTAATCGTACAGTACACAGATGTTCTCATCACATAAACATAAGGATTTATAGTTTATTTATATGTTTATTATAGTATTGGAAAGTACCGTCTATTAAGCTGAAATTGGCTGAAAATTTTTTCCATTTCTCCCATGAACAGAAACACGTACAAACAAGGAATCTGTATCAGTAAAAATAAAAATATAGTTATAATTACAATAGGCCATGCATAATAATAATTGAATAATATTAATAATAATAGTAATAAAGACAATATAACGGCTCAATCTTTTCTCTCTCTCTGAGGCTAAATTATAATATAAATATCTGTAAATACCTCTTGCTGACTACAGTGTATACAGTTTTACATTATTTTATTTTATTATTACTTTAGTATTTTATTTTATTATCTGTGATCTTATCATAGATTCTGTTTGGCATGTGCAATCTGAGTACTCTTAAATCCCCCTTTTATTCTGCTGTAATGTGCGCAACGATGACATTTTCAGAAAGGAGAAAAATCCGAGGCACTCTTGACAATAAAATAAAACATCTTTTAAATGACATTGGAATTTCCCCACTGTGGCACCAATAAAGATCTCTTTCTCATAACGTCTTTTCTTCTCTCTTTCACAGCCGCTGGACTTTGAAGAAACGCCCACAGTGAAGCTGGAAGTTCAGGCTCAGAACAAGGCCCCGCTGATGGGAACCAGCGCCCAGTGGCTGAGCGCCCCAGTGGACGTCACGGTCACCAACGTGGACGAGGGCCCCGAGTTCATCCCCCCCATCAAATACATGAAGGTCAAAGAAAACACGCCCAACGGCACGGCCATCGGGACGTACACCGCCATGGACCCGGAGACCAAGAGCAGCGCCGGCATCAAGTAAGCATCCGTTTCTTTAACTTGTGAGGCAACACTGAAATTTCCCCACTCTGGGACGCAAAAATATTTCTTAATCTTAATCTTAGTTTACGCACATGCCTGGTCTATTTGGCAGGCAGGTGTTCTCAATTTAAGTTTTTGTGTTCAGCAGCAAACCCTAAAACACATCTCAACTGACTTTTTATAACAAAGACAAAACTTGTGATAAAATAATATATTAAAATCTAAAAACTAATGTGCGGAATATCACATTTTCATCATTATAACATTTTATTTGGACATTTATGGCTCTTGAAACTGTTTCACTATTATTCACTTTTTTCAGCATAAATATAATTTTTTTATTATAATTATTTTTCTCGTAACAGTGACAGCAATAAGTTTAGTATTATTCAACCATTTGTTTACAGATGTTTTTGACAACTTTGGACGCATTGTATTGTCTTAATAAAAGCGTATTTTGACTAGTTTTCATATAACTAGTCAGAAAAGTTCTCAAATCAGTGACATATTTTGCATCACAAAAGAAAACAAAATCACATCACATTGTTGTCGAAGCTTTTTAAACATTTTCATTTGATGGAAAACCTCAAATAGTGACTTAGACAAGGCCAGGCTATACTTTATAAACACGTTAAAAAAGGCCTCTTTCATTTTTATTTTTTCCTGGTAATGTGCTGTTGAAGGGCAGGAGTTGATCTGTGATTTCTCAAGCTTTCGCATCGTCTCGTTTTCAGGTATTTAAAAATGTCAGATCCGGCATCATGGATAAATATTGACCGCAACACGGGGGAATTCAAAGTGGCCAATACGATTGACCGAGAGTCGAGTTTTGTTCAAAATGGGGTTTACAACGTCACCGTGAAGGCTATGGACGAAAGTAAGAACACACACCCACACACAAACTCACATACACACGCACACACACAGGAATGAGGGGACATTTGAGGATACAGATATTTGACATGACTTTTTATTACTTCAGTGGAATTCATGTAAAATGTATTCCCCGCATGATAACCCACGAAAAAACTGTTCGAACATGGAATTATCCATCCAGCCATTTTCTTCCCTTTAATCCATTTCTGGGTCAGGGGGGTGGCAATCAGAGATGCCACCCAAGTCTCATAGCACAGCCTTGATCTTTCCGTGGGGGCTTTGGGCAAAGTGGGGTTAAGTGTCTTGCCCAAGGACACAACAACAGCAGTCATCGGTGGGAGTCGGTGGAGACGTGGGAATTGAACCCACGATCTTCAGGCCTGAAGGCCAATGCTCTACCAACTGAGCTACTGTCGCCCAGTGTCAATTAAAAAACAAAAAAACGACTTGTTCTGTATCCGCTCTCTCTCACCGCTTGAAAACAGGAGAATGATTTTGTCTGATCCTGATGAGCATGAATCTTTTTTTTCATAGCTGTATCTCACCCCAGGCACATAGTTTAAACATATCATAGAGCTGTCACGGCGGCAGGGAACCTTGGCATTGGATTACCTTTTGTCGAAACTTGCGTCTTCAGCAAAAAATAAAAAACATTTGATTTATGAGCTTTCGAAGCTTAGGTATTTCATGAGATGTGTTGGCGTATGCTTTGTGATGGCAGTCAAAATGACAGCTCTGGGAGTTCTAGTATTATATAATGTTATAGCTTTTGATTTATGAGTATTTTGAACTACTCCAAGTATTTTATAAGACATGGTGGCGTATGCTTGTGATCATGGAGGTGTGGTTGGCGATGACACAGACCGTGATATAGGGCTGGTGTTGAGATCCCTGGGGCTATTGTTCACCGTGGCCCCACCCTGTTACAGTCTGTCTGTACCGGAGCCGCGCCCTCGCCTTGTTTTCTATGCCACGGATGAGCCCAAAGGTGTCGTCAAAGGTGTGATCTTGAGCCTTCGTGACCGATGTTCTGGTTTGACGTGAACTAGGCACCGATCCCGTCCAAACGGCACGAAAACTTGATGAGACATGACCATATATGGACGAGTCTCAGCTTCCTGTTTCATGCAACTTTACCAGCTCCTACCTTCCATCGGAAACATGTGTTGTTTTCATATAGGCAATCATGGGCAGTCTTAATATTGTGTCATGGAGAGGTGTTATGAAAAGAAAGTCAAATTTAGTCAATATTAGGTGGACTTAGAAGAAAATACATTAATGGTAATTCCACAGTTTTGATCATATTTTGGAGGTGATACTAAAATACTATTTTTACATCTTACTACGTGTTTGAACTCTGTTCTTCCACTAATCATTTGTATTTTTCCGTTGTGTTATAAACTAAAAAAACATGTTAAAAACAAGTTAATTAGAACTACTTAGAACACATTGATAATTCATTTATTTAGATAACTTGTTCTTCGTGCAGCCAAAACAAAACCTTCTTTAGTCTTTACCCATATGCAATATGTTTATTGGATTATATTCACATTCTGTATATTTTGTATTTATTCAAAACTTAGTGTAATAAAATGCTCACATTCTTACTTGTACCTTCCTTTGTTTTGCTTTGCACCAAGCCCCAAGTGACAAAACTACAACAAAACAATTAAGCCATGAAAAACATGGGGCCAAGAGCAAGAATGTAAATCCTTTCCATTTCCATTTCCGATGGTATGTGTCACGTGTGATTGTTTATTAAGTCTTGTCTCATCCTGCTCTTCGCTGCGCTGTCAAAACACAACAGCCGTGTGAATCCATGAGATGTGAGAATCAGATAAGATCGTGCCAACTTTCACAAAGTGTCCTGTACTATTTAGACGTCAATGTTGTTCTTGATTGACTGTTTCCTTGGCTGTTACTCAAAACCTGGAAATACACTATTAACAAACACATAGGAGCTATTGGTACGTACAAATGACCAATGTCCATAAATGTTAAAATATGCTCTCAAATGCCAAGAGCTCTGGTGTGTGCTACTGTATCTTTTCTGTCTGGTGCACACTGGGCTAGTCTTGCACAGTTTTTCCAATGTGGGTTTACTGCAAATGGCAATACAATCTTGTATCTTGTAAATGTCCTGGATTATCACTACTGCCCTACGACCCTCCTGCATCGGCAAGGACCAACTCAAACTTTATTATTTATATATATTTTTCCCAATACATTACCCTCATACAGAATATTTCTAACTCTGTGACGATTACTTCTATTCGTCTGTGTGGCAGGTTCTAAGTCCAGCATAGCCACAGTGGTGATTCAGGTGGAGGATGAGAACGACAACGTCCCGAAAGGGCCGTCGGAGGAGCTGGTGCTGTGTGAGGTGGAGGGCCAGCTGGGCTCTGTCGTGCTGGTGGCCGAAGACAACGACCAGTCCCCTTTCTCGGAGCCTTTTTCCTTCAGCATGGCCCCCGACAGCGACGACAAGTGGAGCGTGACGAGACTCAACGGTAGGTCAAGCCCATAATGTAGAAGACAGTTTAGATAATGGTGAAATGAGTTGTTAGTTGAAGCCTGATTGTATTTAAACATGTTTAAGAAATAAGTACGAATGTAATGTATGTGATGGGAGTGAGGTGTAGGGTCAGAGAGTGTTTGGGGCTGTGTGTGTGTGTGTGTGTGTGTGTGTGTGTGTGTGTGTGTGTGTGCATGTATGTGTGTGAAATAGTATCTTTCTTACAACTCTTACTATATTTACACTCCCAGTTACATGCATGGGTCTACTATGGCAATTTTGGACACACATATTCAACTTTTTGTATAGGCTGTAATGACAGGGTTCCAGGCCACTGCTGAGAGGCACCAAGCACAGGTTTAGCGCACAGTCATAATAATAATGTATTTTTGTCTTTGACCAAAGCCAGGGTTTAGAACAAATGTAAACAGTGAGCAGCCATCCGGGCCCCATCTAAGAAATGTTCCCTAATCAGTATATTGTGATTTCCATTGAATTGGTGTGGATGTGTTTTAATCCCACTCCTCTCTATCTTTCTCTGTGTGTCCTCAGCCACGGCAGCCACGTTGCAGCAGCTGAAGGAGCTCCATCTGGGGGTCCACGACGTGAAGGTGCTGGTGACTGACCTGCAGGGATCAGGCACAGTCCAGACCGTGAGAGTTCGGATCTGCAAATGTGTGAACGGAAAGTGTCCAGCCACAAAGTCCTCGGTCACACTGGGGCCCATGGGCTGGCTGGCTCTGCTGCTGCCCCTGCTGCTGCTGCTTCTGCTCTGTGAGTAAAAAAAAAAAGAAAGAAAACGATTTGTATACGTAACTCTAAAATAAGTTTGCATTGGGCAAACAAGAGAAGGTACCCACTTAAATGTTGGTATTTTGTCCTGGGCTGAGGTAAATATTCCTATTTTGTTGCCATTTCTTCACTCAAATGTTCAATTAAGAGACACTATCAGGATATTGTTAGGATTAGGGTTAGGCTTTAGGAACAGTCCTTTTGGTTTGGGTTAGGGTTGGGGGTAAGATAAGTTTAGCATGCAGCAAGACAACATGCCAATATGTCTGAATGAGCGTCTGAATCTCACAAAGACACATACTTTTCTCCACAGTCTTACTGCTGGCTTGTCTGTGCGCTGGGAACAAACATCAGAAGATGTCGATGGACAACATCGTGGACAGCGGCGGAGTCCTGCTCAAATCTAACACAGAGGCTCGTGGGGAAGAAGTGGTAAGAATTCTCTCCAAAACATAACACTTTCATTTTTATTTATTATGTAGGTGACACAGCAAAGATCTATTACAGCTATATCATGTTTTTTTTACTGTTTATATCATGCAACTTAAAGCTTGAGTACCTAACTTTGCAACCAAACATATATGATGTGATACAGTTCTTGAAACTAGTTCTTAGCTCTCAAAACTGTTTGCTTTCCATTTCATTTGTTTTGTTTCTGAGCCCAAAGTGTTCAATAGTGACTCACAAGGCTCTTTCTACATATACGCAGATTTTTTTCATTCATTCACTACATTTTACTTTAACAAGACAATTTTAGACAATCCTATTCACTTACACCATAACTATACCAACATACCATTATGTTATTTGACTATGTTTCTATGTTATTTTATTATCTATTATCTTAAATAATAGATCCTGTTTGATGTGTGCAACCTGAACGCTCTTATTTCCTCCTTTTATTCTGCTGTAATGTGCGCAACGATGACATTGACATTTCCACAAATAATGGCTTATCTGACCTTTAAATATACTTTGTGTCTAGAAAGGCGCCTAAGAAATACAAATACAGTAATTTCTTTCGAGACCCAACCCTCATTGATATTGATGCTCGTTTGTGTCCCCCCGCAGGACATCAGCCAGTTCGCTGGCCCCACCGTCACTGTCGACAAAGGCTCGGTCAAAGGGTCCGTGGTGAACTCCGGCTGGATCGGCAACAATAGTTCCAGCACCATCCAGGACAACGGCATGTACACCGGCAACATGGTCACCACCACGGACATGCAGCAGCAGTACTCTAAATACGAGGACCAGTTTGGGATGCAGTACAACAACGGTGGCGGCGTCGGCGCCCATCTCCTCGGACAAGGCAACGACGGCAGGTTCCACTCTCAGCAAGACTACTCTCTGCTCCGAACCTGGCAGACCAATGGCCGCTACTTAGAGCAGGTAAATGTCCTCACTACTACTACTACTACTAATACTAGTTTTAATGCCCTACTGCTACTACTTCTTTTTTTAATGCCCTACCACTACTACTACTACTACTACCACTTGTTGTTTTAATCACTGACCTCTGCCCTTATGACCGCCACTTTATGCTTCTGACACTTTACTGCACTCTACCGCACTCTTATCGGTCTATTGTGTGTCACTTGTATTAGTTAACTGAAGAAATGTATGTAGATTTTTATTTATGCATGCCTTCTTGATTTTATTCCGCTTGAACTTGTTTGCACCGAGAGCCAAAGCAATATCCTAGTTTGTGACTTCTTGTCCCTCACATGGCAATAAAAAGATTCTGATTCTGATAATACCCTTACTACTACTACTACTACTTCATCTACTGCCTCTTGTTTTAATGCCCTACTACTAATATTACTACAACAACTTCTACTTGTACTCTCCTTGCTATGGCTCCTACTATGTCCTGTTGTTATTATGTTCTCACTACTGCCTCCCCCTTTTGATGCTACTCAATACTTCTGTGAGGAAGAGCTTGATTAAAGTATGAATTATTAATAGGGTTGTAATCACCTAAAAGAGATACACAAATAATTATAATATTTTGATTTATATCACTTCAAAAGTTCACTTAATTCAGTTTTTACTCATCCACTCAACACAAATGTTTTCAAATTGTCTCCTTGTGATATCTGTTGGCTTCTTTGACCTTGACCACACACATAGTTGAACACTGATACATAAGTAAGTAAGTAATTTAAATTTATACAGCACCTTTCACAGACCAGAGTCACAAAACGCTTTACAATCGTTGTGGCCATTTTTCTCCTCACTCCACACAGAGATGGGCTCCTTTGGTCGGATCCTGTATCATCCTTAAATGCAAAATAATCTCACCTTTTATTTTTGTTCAATGGGTGCCACACATGCTTTAAATCGGATATATATTTTCTTTCTCTTGCAGAAGCTGTACTTTATGGGCGACAAGGACGAGGGCCGCTACGCTGACGACATCGTGCACGCCTACGGCTTTGAGGGGGTGGGCTCTGCGGCCGGGTCGGTGGGATGCTGCAGCGACTTTGCCGACGAGGGCTTGGACTTTCTAGACACGCTCGGACCCAAGTTCAAGACACTGGCAGATGTGTGCGCCAAGAGATGAAGAAGCAGAGGCTGCACATGGACGATGTGAATGTTTTCTAATGCCTCAAGCGCGGATGAACGAACAATGGGAAAAGTGCGAGGAGAGGAGATTTTTGTCAAGTCGGATTTTAGCGAATGGATTTTCTGCTGATGCCTGATGCAGAAACGTGTGCGTGTGTGTGTGTATATGTGTGTTTGGGCTGCATAACACAAGCACAACATTGACAGTTTTGATTCTCAACTGGTGTGGAAGAATCCAAAATCAAATGAGGTGAAGTCAGGTCATATTTGATTGGTTTAGATCCATTCTTCTAAAATGTGATTTGGTTTGTAGCAAAGGATAATACTACGTCTCAACATTAGGTGATAAAAATATGTTCAGGGGCCCATTACGTTGATTGTTATCTACTGGTAAATGGGTAGTTTGCAACGAGTGCGGTTTGTGCACGTTTCGAACATGTTCATGTAAATTGCAAGAAGTGCATTGAGAACTGAAAGGTGTTTTCAACCAATAAATCTGATAAAACACTTTACCAAACTACTGTAGGTTATATACACACATAGCCAGAAGCATCAACCGCACAGCCAGAAACAAAACATTATTAAATAAAAATGTACAAATATAAACATAAGTAAAGAACATAAATGGTCATAACATTTTACACAGGGATTGATGCATCTGGAAAAGTAGATTGGGTGGATAGAATCTAGACACCCCTGATGTAGTGAATACGAAAGACTTCAACTTATAATTAACTTAATAACAGGAGACGTTTAGACATAGAGAGCTGCTTTTACAACGTATCTGTACAGAAACATTCAATCAGGCTGATACATGACATATTTGACCATTGTTCAGTTTTGCTGGTTGATTTGACTATTGTGTAAATCTTGTATTCAATTGGCATCCTCTTTTTTGCGCACAAACCAGGCCAAAACATGCCATCATTCAAACCCTTGGAGTATATTTCTGTATTCTTCCTCTCCAGTTACGACAATACTGTTGCATTTCTAAGCGTGATGTGTGTTGTTGGGGTTAATCTGGGAAATGCGTACTGTAACGTACGTTCTTAAATCCACATAGTCTTCTCTCGAGCACTGTTGAAACTCGCTCCTGTCGGATTAAGCCTTGTTTATCTGCAAACACATTCTTCCGCGGGCGTTGTCCCGGCCTTGTCACCCTGCAGCTTTGCAACATTCTAACCGTTGCCATTAGAGTCGGCACAAGGACGCGATCGTGGAGGGAGGGAAAAGCACTGCACACACTCAAACCAGAAGACGTCACAAATGCTGTATTAGGAGTTTACACAACTGTCTAATAGAAGTAAATATTTGTCAATTATTATAGATTTTTTTTTGTATATGAGCTGTAACTTGATGCACTAAAAGATTTTTGCCTACATCTTGGATTCAGTGTTACAGAAATGCTTTTATATAAATATTTTTGGCTTGTGAAAGGTGTGTGATTCACTGTGAGCCTTAGACTGCACTTTGGAACAAGATAGAACAGATAGACAGGTGTATTATCCCGCATTAGTAGCCTGGGTTTGGTGAATAATTTACAAGGAGGGGCACAGACTGTTTGAACAATGACAAAGAAACTTTTGTTCACAGGAATCTACTATCTGTGAAAAAAAAAGAGGGAGAAAGTTGTGTCTAGTCGTGGGGAGTTTTGGGATGACTTTAGTTGCAAGAGTGAAAGTATTTATAAACTGATTACAAGTAAAAATAGGTTCTGTGAAGGGCAGGAACAGATAGCAGAAAATGTCAGGGTGCACAGCTATCAATATATATACTGTATAATAAAACGTATACATTTGCAATGGAGACCCGACCGACAAGTTAGGTTTAGTACAATGCTGAATAGATGACATCTCCATGGCGACAAGCGGGTGGTAGAAATGTTTAGTGTTGCATCTTCAAGTACTTCAATATGTAACTTTTGAAAGGATAGATACACAATTAAGTTGACTTTACACATGATTTTATAAATTATTTTTGGTTGAATTGTTGTTAAAACACTGTTAGTTAAATATGCAGCATTTCATTGTTGTAGATTGCCTTGTCTCCATAGAAATATGTATTTTTCTGAGATTTTTTCTCCAAAAAAATTAACAAGAAATATTGTACAGTTCATACACAAGGCAACAATGTAATATACATTTAAAAAAAAGAAAGGGCAGCAAAGATTTGTTTGATGGATTTTTGAAAGTATTATTGAGAAACTAAAATAGACATTGACATATTTCGACAGTCACTAAAATTAATTGTTTATTTATTATGGATTGCCCCTTGAGATGAATCTTCTCATTTTCGAGGGGGTCCTCATCCTCTGTTTGCTCTGCCAAATGAGAATATGCTCATACAGTACATAAAAACATTAAAACAAGACATCCGTCCCCACCATGCCCATCTCAAACCCTTTCCTATATTTACTCCTATCCTGACTTTGGGTCTTTATATCGAGCTAATACTTCTATTGCTAATAATAAAAATCTGCTATTAGCCAAAACCTCACCACATCCTTCTGCTCTGTGACCATGGCATGTTGTACCTTTATGTATTGAGCGGGTAGAAACACGTGTACACATCCAGCTCTAAAGGAGTGTGCGAAACCAGAGGAGGACAAAATGTGAAAAACAAAACAAAAAAATCACACACCTCAAAAGTATTTATTTCTCACCCTGGGAAAGTGATGTGTCAGGAAATGCAACGCCCAAAACATAATTCTACTCTCCTCTCGGTCCTGTGCTATGTGGCTGTATCTTCCCTGATACTGGGACGGCATCGGTGAGTTTCACTAAAGGAGGCTTGTCACCAACAAACAAAAGCAATAACAAAACATGGAGAGAAATTATGTACAGCCTCAAGTAACTATAAATTGTTAACGTTAAAACTGAATGGCAAAAAATCAGCATAAGTGTTTTTTCAAATGTTGATCTACAAAATGTCGACGGCTTTAGTACTGAGACACTGAACTCTTTCTGAATTCTCAAGGAGCAGTGCTAGAACTATATCTGTTATTATGGTATTGAGCTCCCTGTAGGCTCCTCACACCCTCGCTCCTGTTCCTGCTGCTGTGGGCGTGGCTGTGGGCGTGGCTGTGGGCGTGGCCACTCCTGCTCTCTGTTCCTGGCTGGCCTGCACACCTGCCTCTCCTCACGCATCACCTCTGCATTTAAGCCTGGGCATTTCTTCAGTCCTCTGTCAGATTGTCAGTCTACAACCGTGAGACAACACCTCGGGCCTTTTGATATTTTTGTGCTAGTTTTTGAGTCCCTCGTTTGATCTTGTTTTTTCTATACTCACAGATCCTCGTGCCAGTTGCCAGCCTCCACCCCAGTATCTCTTCTGCTCCAGTTCCAGTACCTGCTCCACCTTCATTAAAGAGCGACTAAACACCAAATCAACTTTTTTTAACTCATAAACTGCATAAGTATGTTTATTGTAGTGCTGTCTACATATCCTGGTCCTTTTTTTGACATTTTAGTTCAAATTAAGCCTGGTTCACACGAGACGATTTTAAAATTGTCGGCCGATTTTTCTCCGTGTTAGACCCCACACGGGGAGATTAAAAATCCTGCGTCTAACCACTTTGGTCGTGCAGTGTGTGGTGCGTAGCCACACGGCAAGATCACGCAAGCCCCCCCCCCCCCCCCGAGCATTCCCAGGTCAGACGGAAATCTCACAAAATCTCTCGAGATCAAGCGTGACTTTAGAGTAAACAGTCATGGCGGACGAAGAGGATGCAGTGGCGATAGTGTGCAGTTTGTTGTTAACAGAGAAGACACGTAATCCAAAGAAAAGGCAATGGTCAAAGCCATGCTGCTGTGTTTTGTTTTTTTTCCGGTGTTTCCTCACCGGCTTGTCACCTCGTCTTCTTATTGGCTACACGCCGTAGTCATGGCAACGCGCTCGCTTGTCCTCGGAGGACACCACACACGACAAGAAATCGGGCCAAAACAATCCAACATGTCGGATATCCCCGATTTGAGATCGGGAGCAGTCCCGATGTCCTCCCGAGCGACGAGTGCAGTCTTAACACATCACACACGGCAGGATAATCTGTAAGATTTTGTTACGGAAATCGGAGCGTTTCTTAAGATTGTCGTAAGGGGTAAATCGGGTCTAAATCGGCCTAAATATCCTGCCGTGTGAACCAGGCTTTAGATAAAATATCACTTTTTGCCCTCTCAACCTTTTTGGTGGTACTACATTTGAATATGGTTCTGGCCTCTCCATTGACTCTGAAGTTCTCTATGACATCAGTTGTTTTGTGTGACGTCAGTCTGTCAGAGCCAGTGATATGAACCCATTCAACTCTCACACACGCCCCAGCTGCAGTTTGGAGTATTCTGGCGCCATCTAGTGGATTAAAATTAAATTACATGAGTCATTCTGAGATTATTGAGTGTGATTAGGTTCAGGTGTGTAGCTTTACAATTATCTTAGTGTGTAAACAAGGGTGGAATGAGACTTTCTGGTCTGTAAACTATTGCTTTAAGCAGCAATGACAACAATGTTTTTTTTTTGTGTGACAAGTGAGCTGTCAATCACAGCCCAGACCACGCCCAACTCTAAGCCCCCCTTCTTGTCCCTTGGTCCTCCAGGCAACGCCCTTTTTAGAGAAAATTTTCAAATCTTCATGTGGGCGGAGTAAGGCTGGGCACAGGTTTTTAGTCGCTCTTTAAACTCTGCCAATAAATCCTGTTAACCGTCATATGCTTTTGGGTTCAATCCTTTCGCCATAACAATATCTACATCGTCATCAGAATGTTGTCATGTTTAACCCTTTAATGGCTTCCTCAACAATTTGGTGGATCACTTTTTGAGTACCTATATCTACTTGAAGCTGAAATCTTCCTCTTTGGGGCATCTCACTTAGTTTTAGTTAGTTTTACCATCAAAATGCATCTCAACAGTTAATAGAAAAAAAAAGGGGGTTAAAAAAAAAGCAGATAAAAAAACAACTTATTTGTGTAATTAGTGCTCCTACATTCAAGGAGTGAACATTAAAGG